GGTTCGATGGTGTAGCGGTTATCACGTCTGCTTTACACGCAGAAGGTCGCGAGTTCAAACCTCGCTCGAACCTCTCTCTTTTTTTGATTTTCCAAAGTTTGTATTTCAATTTTAGAGACATGAGAAAATGCAATCAATGTTACATGACATTACACTGATTCTCTGATATACAGGTAAGTATACACCTACGTGTGCATATGTCTATGTCATTATCTCTATGAACATATGTAATAAAAAAAAAAGAAAGAAGAGGAGGAGGGATGATGAAGGAATTCATTACGAAACAAACCACGGAAAAGGTAAGAACTCCCAATAGAACCATCAATCAACGATAGTTAGGAAAAGATTAGTTGTTTTGTTTTTAGTAACTGAAGTAAAGGAAGTCACAAATAACAATCACGATCTATACTATTTCGATGTTGATTAATATGATCATACATTTCCAACAAATTATTGTCAGGCATGATAATTTTAACTTACGTATATGTCAGTTTCCTTTCTTCTTCTTCGATACATTAGCTCTCTGAGAAAAGAAAAGTATCAACAACACGAACAACACAAACTAACGTTTCATTCCTTCTATAGAATCAAATGAGTTCTCTTGTTGAAATGAATTCTCCAAAAATTATGGCTATTATCGTCACCTTAGCGTTGATTATGTTATTAATATGTCCTACACAATCGATGCCAACAGAAGATAATTCTGATAAATTATCAACACGTCAGAAAAGATGGACTTTCAATACTTGGCGTTTACATGGTCGTCGAGAATTATCTAATGGTTTGACTTTGCTAATTTTTTTCTTTCTTTTATAATCAAAATATTTTTTTTATTTATTTCTTAATTTCACTATTAGATGTTTATTCTCCGAAGACATCAATATCATCATCGTTAAATACTGGTCGTCAATATCGAATTTACAATGATGATGATGAAATTGCACAGAAAATACATGAACATTTATTACAACTTTTTCAGAATTAATTTACCACTCATAGAAAAAGGAACAAAATAAAGATCAATTTGACAAAAAAAAATAAAGTTTTGTTTGCATTTCGGTTAATATAATAAAAATATTGAATCTCCCGTATTTAATTCTTTATATTATTCTAATATCTATTCATATATATATCTTAATGCATTTGTTAATAAATGAAATCAATGAAAAGAAATATTGATCATAATTCTCAAAGATTTCATTCATTTTTTTCTAATAAGCATGAATGATATTACTTCTATAAAAGTCATTTGTTTTAATTATTGTTTCAACCTTCATTGGTACAAAGACATTGGATATATTTATATATGAGAAACATATCATTTCAATGGATAGGCTACAACATTATCCTACCAAAACAGTGATTAGAATTTCCTGACATCAAATAATTTTGTTAGTCATAATAACATAACCAGTCAATCTTTCAAACTCAACATCATTCTCATCACATGAAATATCAAGATAACCTTGAATTTTGAGTAGTACATAATAATAATGAAATGATTATTGCAAAACTGATTTTTTTATGATTCATCCTGATTGTTTTATAAATTAAGTTATTATCTTTTCAAAGAAGACAACTGATATATTCTCTTCGAAGAATAAAAAAAAAGTTCTATTTTATAAGAAATTGATCATAAAAATAACAACTATAAATAAACGCCTTTATCATCAGTTCCATTTTGTTCATTAATAATTTGGCTTTCCATGAGCTTAGTTTTTTTTTCAATACATAATCTTTTCTGTTCTTCTTCCATTTTTTTATAATCACTTGCTATAGGCGACCAATTTAGTTCTATTTCTTGCTCACTATGTTCTTTTATTAATTGAAAAATTTCATGGATTTTTTGATGATATTTTTCAATAATTTTCTCATTTTCATAAATATATTCTTGCATTTGACTATCTTCTTTTATATAATCTACATAATAAAAATTAATTTTTAATGTAAAAATAAACTAAATCATTATTTACCATACATATCATTATTCGATTTTTGAAGATGATAACAACGTTTACATAATCCTTCGATATCTTCCATTAATTGACATGTTGAATCACTCATGTTTTTTTTTCTTTTATTCTATATAAGATATTAAAAAATCAGGAAAATACTTAATCACAAAATACAATCTGATGTCGTTTATTTAAAAATAAAAATAAAAAAACAATCAGAAAGCTCGATTAGTATATACAGAAGAAAAAAAAACATTCGAATACTATCAATGTTGTGACCATTTGATAGTTTTTAAATCAATTCCTTCTTGAACCATTTCCCATAATGGACTAAAGGAAAAAATAAATCATCGATAAAATTCTTATTCTGAAAATTAAATATCTTACCTCATTTCACGAAGTCGTGTTACATGTGAAACAGTTTTTTCAATTGTATAATCAACTTCTGCTTCAGTTGTAAAACGACCAATACCAAATCTATTAGAAAATTAAAAAAACCTAATATAATAAAAATCAATTTTTGTTACCGAATTGATGAATGTGCTATATCTTCATCAGCCCCAATCGCACGAAGTACATAAGATGGTTCAAGTGATGCAGATGTACATGCACTATTAAAATAAAACAAAATTATTTTAAATATAAAAAAATATATATTTACCTTCCAGATGATAATGCAATATCTTTAAGTGCCATTAATAATGATTCACCTTCAACATAAGCAAATGATAAATTAACACAACCAGCATAACGTGCTTGAGGATCACCATTAAGAATAACATGTGGACATTGTTTAGTTATTCCATCAATTAATCTTTTTGCTAATTGTGCAACACGTTTTTCATCATTCTTGAAAAAATTTTGGTATTATAAAAAAGAAATAGCTTATTATTCACTTACAGCAAATTCTTGTTGTGCTATTTCACAAGCAGCACCAAGACCGACAACAAGTGGAGTAGGAACTGTACCACTACGAATATTACGTTCTTGTCCACCACCTGTTTGTATTGGATCAAGACGGACACGAGGTCGTCGACGAATATAAAGTGCACCAATACCTTTAGGTCCATAAATTTTATGTCCACTAATTGATAAAAGATCAATATTCATTTCATTAACATCAATTGGTAGTTTTCCAACTGATTGCGCAGCATCGGTATGGAAAAAGACTTTTTTCGCTCGACATAATTTACCTATATACATAAAACAAATTTTATATAAAAGAATAAAAAAAAACATTTAATACCAATTTCTGAAATAGGTTGACGAACACCAATTTCATTATTTACCATCATTATTGAACATAAACTTGTTTCTGGTGTTAAAACTGATTCAAGTTCCTAGAAAAATCGCCTTATCAGAAAAAACACAAAATTTTTCTTTTTTTGAAAATTTTACTTTTAAATCAATAAGACCATTCGTTTTTACTGGAAGATAAGTTACTTTTAAACCTTCACTTTCTAATACTCTCATTGAATCAAGTACACATTTATGTTCCTAAACAATAATAATTAAATAAGATAAAATCGAGTCTTCCTCAGATAATATTTACAGTTTGAGTTGTAATAACATGTTTCTTTTTTTCTTTATAAAAACGGCCAACACCTTTAACAGCTATATTATTTGATTCTGTTGCTCCACTTGTAAAGACAATTTCTTTTGGATCAGCATTAATTAATTTAGCGACTTTCTATGAATATCATATAATTAGTAGAAGAAAAAATTATTTTAATTATACTGGATATATCAGAATGTTTCTACACATTTCATCATGAAGCAATGAGTACTATGAAAAGTTTTGCGAGAAAAATCGAAACAAATTTAAAAAAATTTCGAATACTTATTATTGTTGCCCTTGAAGATAGGTGCAGGACAAAATTATTCTAGATTGCGTGGTAGTAATCTTACATAGATACATTTTTACTACCACGTAGTAAAAAAATTGACGGAAATCAATAGGAATTTGTCGGTGCATCCTTTTCTTTTTAACTGATAAGATTTTAGCAATTATTCATGCTGAGATCTACGCAATATAAAAAACAGAATTTTGTCATGCTGATATAGTAGTCCATTTTCATAAGTTCAGAAAAACACCAGAATATATTAGCGCAAAGTTGTTTTGACATTTTTTGAAGAGTTTCTCACAGCTTATCTTTCGAAAAAATATTCTACATTTTCATGATATATATGTAAAGTGCAAACATCCTGAGATATTCAGTATAATTGATTTTATTTAATACTTCTCGTGCATCTTCAATAGCTTTTTCACTTTCCCATCCGAATGCATGTGTTCTTGAATGTGGATTTCCATATAAATGTGTCATATATGGTAACATTTGATCAAGTACACGTGGATCCTATTTTATTTAAATGAAAATTCAAAAGGATTTTAAATAAATTAGATTTACCATCGGTGTTGTTGCTTGTGCATCTAAATATAACGGACGATATTGAAGTTTTTCTAATTCTTGATATTTTTGTTGTTTAACTTTCTTCTCATCATTTTCTTGTTGATCTTTTTCCGATGGATTTGGTTTCGAACTTAATCCACGATATAATCGACCAGAAACAGTTGAAAAACTTATCGTTTTAACAGAAGAGTTTTTGATTATATGAAACATCTAAAAGAAATGAATCGAATCTATCTTTCTTACATAAATCATCAAAGCAATTAATGATTATCTTTTTCCTGTAATGAGCAATTTATTTTATTAAAAGGAAAACAAAAAAAACAGAGAAATCATTATAAAGCATAAAATCACATAGATCAATATGCAATAAAGATAATTGTCGTTGTTATTAAATCGAAATAAAACTGGAGTAAAAATAAATAAATAATATGACAAGACAAGAAAAGAAAAGAAAAACAAATTAAATAGCAAGGAAGATAATTTCTGTAGTTAACAGAGATTCCATAAAAACAAAACAAAGACAAATAAAAAATAATTTAACTATTACAATTCTATTTATTAAGAAAACTGTATTCGTCTCTTTTTTTCGCCTCTCTATTTTATTAGAAAACAAACAAAAAACACACTATTCTTATTTTGATTATTTTTTTTGAAAACAACAAGATTAACAATGTTAAAATAGATATTATGTCATATTTTAAATAAAAACAAAACAAAAAAAAAATTGGAAAAAGATAATTAGTCGGGTGATCATTATTTTGAATTTTAAAAGGGCGCATTAAAACAGAAAAGAAATAGTAACAATTAATAAAGAAATATTTTTTCGTTTGATTAATAAAACATTTTGATATTTTTATAAGTATTTTCGTGTTATACGTTCTTGACGACTCCTAAAAAAAATAAATAAACATTTTTAATTATTGTTAGATTAAGTTCAATGTTGGATTGAGGAAAAAAATTTATTTAAAACTTGGATTTGTCTCGAGATCGACGTCATATTCTGTGTTGAGCCTAGAGAGCGGCGGGTCTGCGTCTACATCTAAAATTAACTCCAGACCCGGTTTAGATTAGATTATGATTCGTAACTTACGAATCTAAATATGAAAGAATAAGAATTGAAACCGGCAACTATTGATTTATTTCCTATTTCCCTTTATTTCTATAAGTTAAAAGAAAATCAATTAGCTAACATCTCAATAACATCTTTTCGTTACTCTTCATGTCAGATATTGGTAACAAACGACCGGGTTCAGAACCGGGCCTGAAAAGTCATAGACCCGCAGCTTCCTACTCGAGACTATAGCTTCACTGGTCTTACAAATAGTGATGAAAAAGCTAGTTTCAAAGTCAAAGAGTTATAAGCAGTTTCTCGCAAAATCTGATCGTGTGTATAAAATCGTTCATAACTTTACCGAGTCAAGGTTAATTGATTAGATGATGGTTGTAGAATATGGATGTGACATCGATTCAGTAAGAAATTGAAGTTTTGATGATACTTTTTCTCTAATCCGAGATTAGATGCTGACCTATATGTCTGATTATTTAGGAGAACAACATCAATTTATAAACTAGTATCCTCTTTTATTTTCTACCAGGTAACTTTCAAGTAAAATAAACTATTTATATCAAGGAAAAAAAATGAAATATTTATGTATACTTGTATGCTAAATAACCAATAATAACAAGCACTTGTATTGCAATAGCACTTATAAATGTAAATGAGCCCACACAAGAACCATTACCAGTAGTAGTTACTGTTGGACATTTAACTTCATGAGACTAGAAAAATAAATATATAAATTTCTTTGATATAATTAATCTATTTTTTGTTTCTTACTGATTTTTGTATTAATGTATTTGTTTCTGATTTAATCATTTTAACTGTTTCTCGTACTTCATTTAATATACTTGCATCTATATTTGAATTAATTGCTGGTTGTCCACTACCAACAGGTCTTTGATTATTAACATTTGATTGAAGAAAATTGACTTTTTGTTGTAAATCAGTTAATATTTGTCTATCATATGAATAAATATTTACAAAAAAAAAGATATTTCCCGAAAAAACTTACGCAAAACTTTGAATAGTTCTTGTCATATCAGTATTCGAATTTATTACACGGTTTATGTCTTGAATTCGAGCAACATCCGCAGGTATAGCTGATGCACCCTAAGATTTTCAAAAAAAATATAAATTTAACAAATGACTGTTTAAATCATTTTTACTTGTGCTTGTCCAGAAATTTGTTGTTGACCACCAGCTGTTACAGCTAATCGTTCAACACGTCCCAAAATTTCAGCCATTTTTTTATCAACATTTACCAAAGAAAGACGAATTTGATCTTGACCTTCTAAGATAGTACGAAATTCCCGATCATATTCACTTTCATACTAACAAAAAAAACAAGTTATATATTAACTTAAATATATATTTATATTTACTAATTGTTGTTCACTAATTGGTGTTGTTAAATCTGGATGATCTTTTTGATATCTAAAGATGGATAAAATAAATGAATATTTTTTTCCAACAAAAAAAGAAAAGTTTTCTATACGAACTCAGCTTGTTGTGTTTTAAGATCTTGTTCATATTTTTCATATTCTTCTTTATATTTTTTTGCTTGTTCATCAGTTGCCGCTTGATTTTGTGGTGTTGCTTGTTTATCCGAATATGTATTTGTTAAAAATTCTAATACATCATGATCATCAGCAAGACCACCAGTTGCAGCTGTAACACCAAGATAACCACTTTTCGGTAATTGCATACCATCAATACGTGTACAAAATTCAAATGCATTATCATCTTGTGATATACCATTATTAATATAAATCTTAAATTAAAACAAAAATATTACGAAGTAAAAAAAAATTTTAGTTTTTCTATATAAAATACCGTTAATGCTTGATTGATATATTCTATTTTAAGTCGAATAGGATGTGGTTTATTACGAAAATCTCGAATACAACTTCCTTGAATTTGACCACTACCATCTTGATGATGATCATATGATTTTGTACCATCATTTATCATAACAGCTATTATTGGATTATTTTGCTAAGAAGAAAAGAAAATTTTTAGTTAAGAATGTTGTTTCAATTTGTTTTATTTTTGTAACGGAGTCATGAATCAGCTAAGTGATCACAGTCATCATGCTGGGATTAACACTCCGATATATAGAAATTATTATTGCCATCATTGATTAAGAGACACATATCATCGCCTGTTTCCAGACTAAGTTCTCTGCCCAATGATGGCACGAGGATTCGAACAAATAAATAGTCAATTTAAACAAAACAACTAGATTAATATTATAGAATATAAGTAAAGTAAACAAAAGCTGTGTGCAACGACGTTTTTCTTTTTAATAAAAATTTTTTTTATATAAAAGATGTTTTAGTAGGTAAACAACAAATATACGTGAAGCACAAGATTTATATAACTTACAGTTTGAGTAGTCTAAGAATCAGGAAAATGAAAAATGTTTTTCTTTATATTAATTATTTACTCGAAAGAAGAAATGTATTTCGTTGATGTAACTTACCAATGCATCATTATCGAATGAATCGAGAAATAAGCCTAAACCATTCCAATTATCATTTGAACCGAATACAGGACCTTCAACACCTGGTTTATCTGTGAACCAAATAGCCTAAAACAAAATAAATATACAAAAATGTGTAAATCTTACGAGACTATTAAAATAAAAAGGTTAACTTTAAATAAATATGTAAATTGAGGATTAGTTGACATTAACCTTTTCAACAGTTGATGGTTTAAAAAAGAAAGATTTCCATAGTTCATGTGCTCGGGATAAGTCGATAGAATATTTGATAGCATGCAAAACAGTTAGGTGATATATTTCTGTTCGTGAAAAAGCTAAATCTATGCTAACAGATACTTGCTAATGAGGAAAAAGGTCTTGACATTTTTGATCATTGTATATGACGGAGCTTCATAGTATGATGAATTGACTCACTAGACCTATCATTTTTTTCCAGTAAAAATAAAATACGATACATATACAAAATTCAATTCTCTCTGAAGTTTTTTAATTAGACTAAAAGATAGGATAAGTTTTTTTCTTACCATGCCATCAGCACCAACACGACCACGGCCAGTTACACGTAATTTAACATCGAGAAGCCAACTATCAGCAGTCATCATATTCTTGGTCCAAATCCAACCTATATATAAAAAGCTTGAAATTAAATCAACATAATAGATATTTTTCTTTACCTTTTTGACTGCGAATTGATGGTGTAACACGTACTTGATCATCACTTGCAATAGCACCTAAGTAAAAACACAAGTAGAACAAATGAATAGAAAATTTTAGTTCAATTTTTACTTCCACCAAATGACCAAAATGGAACAGTTCCGTCTTTAAAAGCAAGATGAGGTCCTTTAAATGATAATTTATATTCAAATCTTTTTGTCAGTTGTGGATTCAATATAGTTGGGTCAGTGAAAGCATAGATAGTAATAAATGAAGAACATACGGTTAGAATAAATTGATAAAATCTCATCATAACTCTTGAGATCTGACGGTATAATGGTGGAAAATAATGCAATCGCAGTTAGTTTCTCAAACTTATAAAAACGAACACGAATCAATCACCAATCAAGTTTTTTGGCCAGGTGCTGAGTATTTATTTGATTTGATTGTAAGCTTGACGCATCATTTCTTTTTATTAACAAATCAAAATTTATCATCAAGAAAAAAAAATCTTTGTTTTTTCTCTAATTTAAAATAAATAAAATAATTTACTTATTTCAATAATATTCATCTACAACAGATGTCGTTTCAGTATCCATCCATGATGCAACACTCATCAATATTTTATTTGTGAGTACAAAATCACCAATCATAAACAAATAAAATCTACTAGCTATTTTTTTTATTTATATCACGCAATTTATCAAATAACAACAACCACTTAATAAAATACTTCAGTTACTCGAAAATACGATTAACACAAAGAAAATAATAAGATATATAAATCATTTTTCAGTCTCATTGTCAAGAATAATAATATTACAAATATTAATGACATGAACAAAACTTTAAAATAAACAATCGTTTAATCTTTGTAGACGAAACAAAAAAAATATAAGTGATAAGATTTGATTTAGTATTCATAAATACATCAGTTAGTTTCAATGCGACACAATGTCTCAATGGATCATTTCAGTATACCAGATGGATCGTCATGAATCATTTATTTTCTTCATACTCATATAATAATATGATCGAATCTAAAGATATTTAGTTTTTAACTTGATACAATATATAAAGTAATTTTCTTAAATATTTTAAGTTTGCAGAAAAAACAATTTCCTATAATATCACACATATATACTCTAGTGAAAAAGAAACTAATCGAGTATTCTCATACATTGACAAGTATTTCTATTCCATTCTAGTTATTGGAATAGCTTTAAATGAGTTTTTTCTCTAGTGTTCAAACGTGTTGTTAAAGGTTGAATCTAAAAAATATTAAATTTGCTTAATTACTAGACATAGTTAGTATATAAAAAACTTGCAGTAGTCTTTTAAATCTGTTACCTTGCGAACAATTTTCCATTATATAATCCTAGAATCATTATCATCAATAGATGTACATAAATATCAGTTACACTATCATATTGATATAATAGTAATAATCCTAGTCGAACTTTTTTATACAGACGCTTGACAAAACTTGACCTCAAGATATGTTCATAGTGCATGACATTCTTGATCAAGAAAGTCAGGAATCTCATGCGCATGTACACAAAAAAAGGATGAAAATTTTCGATATAGGTAATAATGGTTTCTTTTTTTCAAATATTACTTATTTAAATAGGAAAAAATGTTTGGTTTCGATTCTTTTTTTACTTAAAATTTTTCTTATTATCCGCATGTCAAGAAAGATTTCAAGATGTGTCCATAGAACATGACATTCTTGCCCCAGAAAGTCAAGAATTTCATGCGCTTCCAAAAATAAGTTCGCCTAGGGAAGCCTTCAATTTAAACTGAGTTTGTTTATTTTATAATTTACTAAATAAATGCTCAGGGTGCAATAAGACCGTATTGTATCTCACGAATTCTTTGAATTATATAGTTTCATTTCAACAATCATTCAATACAAAATAGTTTCTATCTTCGAATTGTAAGCACTAGCATAATATTCAACATGTTATAATAACCTCGCTTCGATATCTATCGTCTTTTCAAATACCATAAGTTCTACATTTGTTTTTATAGAAGTTGTAATAAAAGAATAAAGACAAATACTTCTGTATTATATTTTTTATTTAGTTTTCATTTACTATAATTATAGAAAAAAACGAAATTTCATAAAACTCTTTTTTTTGACTTATTATTTTTTTTTTTTTGTAAAATCTTTTCTTTTTTCATTCGTCTATCTTTAGACATGTATAGTCAAATGAATATGTACAAATACACACAAACACAAAAAGAATTTATACATAAATTTTATTTTTTTCTTCTTCTGTTATTCTTTTAATGAGATTTGTGTATTGTGTAGTTTTTTATAAAGAAAGAACAAAACGAAAGAAAAAAAAATAATATATATATATATATATGTATATATACTAAACAAATATGAAACTGATCACAGTGGAGTAGGAGGACGCTGTTCATGATTATATGCATGAAGTAAACGTTTTTTTAACGGTACATTTGGTTCATTTGGTGATGATAATGATGAATCAGATTGATTAAATGTACTGGAATATGATCGTTGTCTTGGAAGGTCATGTATATCGGTTCGAGCGAACATTGACTTAAAAAAATAATAATAGAAATAATTTTAATTTTCTTTTTATTCTTTATAGAATCATGATAACGCAGTTAGGGTAACTAAGTATATAAATAGCAAATATTTTTATAAATAAATATTTGCATGTTTACTATCATTTTTAATAGATTAATTTAATAACTCATGATATTTAAATATGTATATAATTCGAATCCTGTTAGTTTAATTAATTAAAGAGAAAAAAACTGTCACACTAACTGATCGTGTAGAAAAATACTTAAGTAAATAACTAAAAACTGAATGTCATAATTGAAAAGCCTTTCATAGATTCTGTTGATTAATAAATTTTTTCTTGTATAATAAACCAGATAATCTCGAAGATATATACAAAAAGAAACTCACTCTTTACACTTACAATAATAACTAACAATTGATCTTGACATAATTCAAGCAAATATAAATATGAATTAGAATGAAACAAAAAATATCATCCTAGTTTTATCATGCAATAAAACATGTAGGATAAATTTATTCAGTATTTTAAAGCTTACTAAATTAAAAACAAAAAACAAGCGATCGATTATTATTATTTTTCTTCTACTTTTTTTTTCTTTTCAATAGAATTATCAATAGTATTCTTTGTCTGTTTTGAAATATTTACTTTTGCTTTACGTGTTGCTGTTAAATTACTGTTGTTGTTGTTGTTGTTATTATTCTGTGGTATAATCGCAGGTGATGATGATACATGTGTAATTGGTGATGGTAATGTTAGTTTAGTTGAATGAGAATATTGAGAACAATTGCAAGACGATGAACAATTGTTTGATGATGGTATTAAATCACGGTGAATATTAAATTGATTATAAAGTGTAGAGTTCATATTTAGTTTTGAACATAGATAAGATGATGATTGATTGATTGTTGAAGTATTTACCGGTAAACTAAATGATTGTGAATTTGAATGACGAACACGTTTGGATGAATCAGAATGAATTATATCATTTTGAGAATGTGAATGATGTAGAGATGAGGTTGGATTTGTTGCTGATGATGATTGAAGTTCAAATGGTTCATGAAGTGAAAATGGTGGAATATTTGATGTTGGTGGGAGTGGTGGTTTTAAAGTTGGTCTATTATTAAATAGAAAGTTTATTTTTATTTTTATTGATTATGATGTCATACCTTTTACGTTTTAATTTTGAATGTGTAGGTGATCGAGCATTGAGATTTTGAATAATTTTTGGTGAAGAATCTTAAAAAACAAACTTCATTGATTAATTTTATTTAAATTAAATAGAAATTTACTATTTCGTTGAAGAATTGATGATGATTGTTCAGTATCAGGTTTATCATATTCTGAACGTATTAAATATTCAAAATCTCGTGCTACTGATGGTGTTGGTATTGCTTGTGGTTTCTTATGTAATTTTGGTATACTATTAATTCGTTCTAAAAATTAATAAAAAATAAATTTTTCTTTTCTTCTTTTAATTTAATTTAATTACCAGAATTCATAAGTAAAGTTCGTGTTATAGAGCTACGGGATCGTTGAATTCCAATATCCGTTCCATTATCATTATTATTAGTTGTATTTTGAGCTGTTAAATCATCGAGTATTTGTTGATGAATTTCTTTAAAAAAAAAGTCATTCAGAAAATTAATTTTAATAAAATTTAATATTTTACCTTCAATATGTTGATTATTTAATGGATGACCGCCGAGTAATTTAGCGATGGATGAATTTCTACGACGTTGTTGTGCAGCTGTACCATTTACAATATCTAAATAGAATACTATGTAATATATTCCGAAGAGAAAAACAAAACAATTACCATGTGTAGATGCTAATGACGTTGTTAGTACTGGAATATGTGATGTTTGAGGAATAGTTGAGGTCATTGGTTTCGGTGGAGTAGGAATTCTTATAGGTGGAGTTGGACTTTCAGAACTTGAATTGTCATCTATCACGAATAATGTTGAGCCTGCTGGCGACGATGATTGTGATGCCTAAAAGAAAATATTCTATCAATAGAGGTACACGATGACCTTTTATGATTATGTATGCCAAAACATATAAGAAAAGCGAATGCGACAAATTATTAATACATACGGTAGAGGCAGCAGGTGATGTGTTTGCTTTTCGTGTTTGTGAATTATTATCAACATCGGTGTTGTCTTTGACATTAGTGTCCGTTGAAGACATGATTGCTTCTTTTTTTATTTAAAAATCTGAAAAATATAGATGATACAATCAATTAATATTATATCCTTCTATGTCTTTTTTTTATAGATCAAATGAGGATTTTATTTTCTTTCAATTCAAAATTAATCAATGAACAATTTCGATATAAATCAATGACTAAACTTTTTAATCTTATTCTGACTTCAAAAAAAAAGTAAATAAAAAAAATGACATGAGCACCTCGTTTTCTAATATATGAAGTAATATTTGTACTTATATTATACGTATACGTAAGATAGGCAGAGATAGAATGTCTATTGCAATAATAACAGTAGCAATACACTCTCTTATTCGCTCCTTCACTTTTCTTTTTTTCTCTTTTACTTCTTTCCCTCCAAATACTGAATAGTGTGAGCGCATGCAAAGCGAGATATATATTCTTTTTTTTTTCTTGACAAACATACTTGCTTTTATGTTGGTTAAGTCTGACGGTAACAGCAGAAAAAAAAAGGTAGGGGTGACATCAAGAAAAAAAAATCGAAGAATGGAAAAAAAGAGAAAGAGAAGAAGAAGAAGAAGAAGAAGAAGAAGAAGAAGAAAAAGAAAAGCAAAGATACGGAACGGACGAATATGAAAGCAAGAGTTGATTGTATGCACCCATGCTAATAACAACACAGGAGTAAACGAGTAAATAATAAAATTCAACTTTGTATAATTGCTAATCAATAATAAATAAAAATAAAAAAAAAGATATTTTAGGTTAAGTATGATCGATGAATTCTCTCATATATAATGTCACGAGAGAAAAAAGGTTATCTCTTAAGATTTATTGATAATTCTATTTTTAAAAAGAAAGAATGGCATTGCTTCATATGTCAGACATGACATTATCATAGTAACAGTTGAATTAACAGAAATAATTAGAATGGTAGATTTTAATAATTTAATATTATGATTATATTGCGTTTTTCTCTTTTCTAAACAAAATAAGACAACATATATTAAAATAAATGTTTTTCTTATTTAATCTAGTATGAAAAAATATATTTGACAAGAAAACTTAATGCAATATTTTTATTATCCGTAATATTCAAGTCTATTTTTAGAAATCATATACTAGTCTTCATTAATTCTTAAAAATCGACGGAAGTACCCATAAGAATAAGATCAAGTTGACCATCGAAATAGAGCTTCCGAAACCTCAGTATAATCATGATATAACTCTACAAAAAATAGCTATAGAAATACAGACTGTCACCTGAAGATGAAATTCGATCTTAAGTGTTTTTTCTTAACGATGTTTGTATTTATTTACTATTACTCGAAAAATGAATACTTCGTACTTTTTGGCCCCATCAAGATAGAATGTCCTTCATGATATGTTAACGTATCGGTAGATTGGTAAAAGTTTCCGGAAAGAGTAGATTTTGTACTGTGATAGTACATCTCAAAATATCACTTAAAAATAACAAGAACTTTTATGGTGTTGATATGCATGATTAAAATCAAAAGTGACATTAAAAAGACATAGATGTTCGGAAACGCATTTTCTCTTCTGAGAGTCACTCGAGATTAATTTTTTTTTCTTTCGTCTATGATCTATTAGATTTTTCAATTATTAGAATTTCTCTGAGAAAGGACATTTCGCTTTTGAAATATTCACAGATAAGAAAGATGATAAACGTCATTTTTGTTAAATTTATCGATAATTGAAAATTAGTGTTTATTTTTTTTTAAAGAACACTATATATGATGCGAATTATGTTATAGGGAAAGAAATTCTCACAAGAAAATGCAGTTCAAAGATCATCAAGGGTTTCTAATGAAAACTTGTTTTTACGCAACTGTTATTATCATGAGATTTGCTTTATTTAGTTTTTTTTCTCTACTTAATTTCGATCCTCGATAGATTGTTCTGTTTTTATAATTTATAAAAATTATACCTAAACATATTATTATTTTCTTTTAATTGAACGATAATATTTAACTCATCAATTAAATCGCATTGAAAATATCTCTTGGATATGTCATCCTTAACTTCAATTATATTCTTGCTATTTAGAATATTACGATAAAGGTTACATTCGTTTGTCTTACTTTTTTCTATCCTTATTATAATAAATATCGTTTTAGTACATACATAATTATAGAATGTATATTGTATTCTATTAAAATCACTTACTATTAATATTAAAAACGTTTGATAAATAATTCATTAATAATATCGAATTTATTTCGATCATTAACGAATAATCTAAATAATATAAACATATTATTATGAGTATAACAATCAAGATAATCTATCCGATGGTTTTTAATAAGTATGAAGTGATCCATTCTTCTTATGGTACAAGGATATATCGATGGCCTTATTCTTAAGTATGATCTTTAGTTGCTCTTCTTCTTTTTTCTAACATAACAATGCATTTATATCTAAGTACTATTATTTCTCATACAATCATATAGTATATGACCTCAAGATTATATAAGAACTCAGATTTCTATATTATTACTCAAATAATATGGTTTTCTTGATCTTCTATTTTGTAGAAAAAAAAGAATCTATTAATGAGAAAATATTTTAGTGATTTATTAGAGAATAAATAAATAAAAAATCTCGTATTTTTGATTGTTTATTATTAGAACCAATCATATTATATATCAAGTGATTTACATTTTGTTATTGAAATAAAAAAAATAGTATAGTAGACAAATAAATAATCTAGAGTGTATTTTTATTCTAATAGATAAGGTGATGATTAATTTTCAAAATAAGCTTCGTCTACGAAATATTTTCTGTCAATTTTTTTATCATGATATGATTTGATCGTAAATAAGAAAAATAAAGTTATTTGAGTGCATTTGAAAAAGTACGATAAGAGCGATAATAATTCTCGTTGTTTTTTTCTTATTCAGATATTTATTTATTTATTATGTCAACTGATACTAAAAATCCGAAAGATCTTATGGAATATCGATATTTAGGTCGAACTGGTCTTCAAGTCAGTGTTTTATCATTTGGTGCTTGGGTAAAATTATTCAAAAAATATATAAATGTACTTAGAATTATTTTGTTTTTAGGTAACATTTGGTGATCAAGTTGATATGAATGAAGCTTATAATTGTATGAAAATAGCATATGATCATGGATGTAATTTTTTTGATAATGCAGAAGTATATGCAGCTGGTAAAGCTGAAACTGTTATGGGACAAGTATTAAAGAAAATGTTTGAACAAGATGGTATTCAACGTTCTGATTTAGTTATTTCAACAAAAATCTTTTGGGGTACACCATATTATCATCCACAAGCGAATAAAATTAATTTAAAAGGTTTATCACGTAAACATTTAATTGAAGGAATAAAAGGAAGTTTAAAAAGACTTGAACTTGATTATGTTGATATTGTTTTTGCTCATCGTCCTGATGTCCATACACCAATGGATGAAATTGTTCGAGGATTTAATTGGATTATTGATAAAGGTTATGCTTTCTATTGGGGAACATCGGAATGGTCAGCAGAACAAATTCGACATGCATGTGAAGTAGCTGAGAAACTTAATTTAATTGGTCCATGTGCTGAACAACCACAATGTAAGTTGAATTTTTTTCATAGAAAAAAGATCAATAAAATATTTTCGTTTAGATAATATGTTACATCGTACAAGATTTGAAGTTGAATATGCACCTCTTTATGAATCACCAATTAAATATGGTACAACTATTTGGTCACCATTAGCATCAGGTCTTCTGAGTGGAAAATATAATAGTAAACAATTAGAAGGTAGTGACACTCGATTAGGCTCAAAGACAGGTAATTCACAATGGCTTAGAGAATCACTTCAATCTGGTGAAGGTATGAATGGACTTGAAGAGAAAAATGTTGATCGTATTATGGAAATAATTGACAATTTAAAACCAATTGCTGATAAACTACAAGTAACATTAGCTCAATTAGCACTTGCTTGGGCAGCAAAAAATCCAAATGTAAGCACAGTTATTACAGGTGCAAGTCGTTCAAGTCAAGTAACAGAAAATTTTAAATCATTAGCTATACTTCCTAAATTAACACCAAATGTTATGGAAGAAATTGAAAAAGTTTTACAAAATAAACCAAAACAACCAATAGATTGGATATCAAGAAATTAATTTTTTAGACTCGATTTTTTTTAAAAAGAATGTTCTTATAAAGAAATAAATAAAAAACATTAACACCTAGAATATAATTGACAAAGTTATTCATTATTTCCATTTTCAAAAGTATCTCTTACTAATATTTGAGGAATGGTGTGCGGTTAATTCAGCACTAGATTTTTTTTTTATTGAAAAAAAAACAAAAGAATTAGTTTTGAGATATGTTTGTTAGAAAGTAGACAAAATATTATAAAGTCAAGAATTTATTTAATTAATTTTGACGAAGTGGTGCATATTTAACATTTTTGTTTTCGTCTAAGATGACGCGTACAAAACCACTTTTAATCGGAGCAAGAGATTCTGGTGAATCATCATCGACTACTTCAATATTTTCTTCACCTAATTTATAAAAAAAAAACAATGTCATGGAATACCTTTTATATTTTTTACCATCTTGTTTTATTGCTTCGACTGCTTCTTGTTCAGATTTACCAACAAGATTGTCCCAACGTTTACGTAAATCACAACAACTCTGACTCATTTTGATTAGAAAAAAATAAACCGAATCTGAATTAGAAACTGAAACGAATCAAATAATATAAATAGTAAAAAATAAATCTTTATCATAGAAGTAGATAGTTAGAAATCTTTTAGAAAAGAACACCAACTCATAACAGTCGAATACGAAATGGACATTTACTTATTATTTTGGGTATCTGATGTGAATAAACAACAAATATGCAATACTATTATAGCTAATGTTATAATATTATTCTCGCACAAAGGTACAACAAAAATGGATATTATACCTTTCTACACCAAACAAATGACTGTATGATTGATGTTTTTTTATTGTTAAGCATGAAGCAAATGTCACGACGTTACGAGTAGCCACATGAAGAATAAAAATATGTTTTTTTAGCGTATTTTGTAATATTATGGAAGTAATTGTAAATTTATTTTAGTATATAAGTTTAAATTAATTAGAATTAGAATAAGAAAATTAGATAATTATAGTTTAGTAGGAAAAAGTATAAATACTTCTTGATTAAATACTATTAATATGATGTATAGTAATCGTATGAACAATGAAATTTCATAGCAAATAAAAGATGTTGACTAAATCTTGATACACGTTCGATTAAGGTATCGTAGTCAACAATACAGGTTGATATGATGAGGAAGTGATGTGAATAAAGCTAACATTCGATTCATTTAGAGATTTGCTATAAGTAGTACACTATGATTTGAAGTACAACTCGAAAACATTTATTTAATACTATATTAAAATTTTATGTAACGTAAATTAGCATATTTTAAAGTATTGGAAGTTTGAATATATCATTGAGTATATCTCATCGAATTGCACTAAAACAAGACTGAAATACTTGAAAATGGAGTATTCAATGAGTTAGCAGTAGAATTATTTGAGTCAAATGTTACCTTCGCTAATAAGAGCGGATAACTAATAGTCAGTTCTACGTAATATAATTCTTCTCCCTAGCACACGAAGAAATCTCAAAGACAACTACTCAAAACAAATCTACGAATCGTCAAATGATTTTAAGTATCAAATCAATGGCTGTTTGAAAATAAATAGAATCCATTCTATACTTCAATAATTCTATAGTAAATAATAAATATCTTTTCAAATCTCCAAAATAATTTCTCACTATCTTATATTATTCATAGAATTATTGATCATAACAACCTCTCAATACATCTCGTCAAATAATTTGCATTTATTTTCTAGCTATTACTTTGTGTGAGAATAAATCTATTAATAAATAACATGATTATAGTATTATTTTTTTCTGTTATTTTTGGAGAGAGGAAAAATAAAAATACAATTGACTTACCTATCAAATGAGAAGAATATCATTATTTTGCTACTAAAAAATTTCATATAAAAAGTCTATCACAATTCATGTGTAAATAACATATTTTACATTTTTGCTATGAAGAGAATAGGGGAGAAAAGACCAGTCATCATTAATAATAAAGAATAATAGATACGAAAATACAGTCAGCGTTTTGCTAATATAAGTTGCTAATATGTTTTTGTGATTTTTGCTATAAATATTATCTTTATTTTTGTTTTTCTAAAGAAAAAATAAGACAACCCACATACAGAACAGCAAATATCCTTATATAAACCCGTCTATTTATTACATTCATCTACATAGTAGGTATTGATTTTGAAAATATCAAGAACAACAACATATTCGTGCTACAATGAATGCAAGTTATGAACCATTGAATAATGAGGATCAAGAGCTTTTTCAACGTGTATGTAATATTTAACAAACTCTATTAATTATTTTCAATAATTTATCTTTATCTGTTTCTTTATTTAAGCATGAAAAAGGAATTGATAAAAGTGTACGTGACGCATTTCCATCGATTCCAGCTGATTTCAAATTAAAACCAGTAACTATTCGCAAAATCGTAGGGTGCGGAATGTTTTATGATATTAAGGTAGATTAGAAACGTTATTTTGAACAGAGAGATTATTAATTTTATTTTAATATTTTTCATTGTAAAGGTTGCTTTACCTGATAATCAATATGCTAAAGTTTCATTCCATTCAGGTGGTCATCCGATGCCAAGAATCGACGGAGTAGAACATCCAAAACAAGAACAACACTATAATGTTGATCCAACTGCTAGTTCGTCAAAAGATGAATAAACTATTAATGATAATTTCTCAAGAACTTTTATTTTATCATTATTAGACCTAAATAAATACAAAATAAAGAACAGTAGTTCGTTATTCATCCAGTATATTTAACCTTTCTCTTGTTTAAATAGAATTTATGCACTGTTTCTACGAATATAACTTCGATAAGAAATGTTTCTTCAAATCTCCAGAAGAATTCATTTATTTTCATTTTTTCTAACCATGGGAATTATTTTAGCAAATAATCAATTCCTCACTGTCTGATATCATACATATGATTATCGAACAAAGTAATTTCTATAATACATGTCGTAGAATCATTTGCATTCGTTTTTCAGGTATTAATTTGTGTCATAGTAAATCGATTAATAAATAATATGATTACAGTATTTTTTCTTCATTTTTTTTGGAAAGATGAAAAATAGAAAGAAAATTGACTGACTTGTCAAATGACAAAAATACTATTATTTTGCTACTAAAAATTTTCATATAGAAAAAACTGTCATAATTCTTATGTAAATAACATATTTTGCAATTTTGCTGTGAAGAAAAAAGGTGAGAAAAGATTAGTCATCATTACTAATAAAGAATAATAGATACAAAAAATAGAATCCCTTTTTGTATATTTTTCTAATATATCTATCTGATCACACCTTATCTACCTATATTATATTGAAGGTCTGTTTTGAGTGTGTATGAATATTATCTTTTTGTTTTTTATCGAAAGAAAAAAAAATAAGACAACCCACATAAAGAACAGCAAATATCCCTAGATAAAGTCATCTACATAGTAGGTATTGTTAGTGAATATATCAAGAACATTAACATATTCGTGCTACAATGGATAATCAGTATCAAACATTAAATGATGATGATCAAGAGTTTTTCCAACATGTAAATGATATTTAACAAATTCTATTAATTATTTTCATTAATTTATCTCTATCTATTTATTTATTTATTTATTTAAGCACGAAAAAGGAATCGATAAAAGTGTACGTGAAGCATTTCCATCGATTCCTGCTGATTTCAAATTAAAACCAGTAACTATTCGCAAAATCGTAGGGTGCGGAATGTTTTATGATATTAAGGTAGATTAGAAACGTTATTTTGAACAGAGAGAATATTTATTTTATTTTATTATTTTTCATTGCAAAGGTTGCTTTACCTGATAATCAATATGCTAAAGTTTCGTTCCATACAGGTGGTTTACAACCGCCACGAATTGCCGGAGTAGAACCTCCAAAACAAGAACAACACTATAATGTTGATCCAACTGCGAGTTCGTCAAAAGATGAATAAATGATTTATAATAATTTCTTACAAACTTTTATTTTGTCATTATTAGACTAAAAATATAACACTAACATTATAATTGATATTAAATTTTAATTCAAATAGATAGTCTTCATACATACGAACTTAATAAGTTAAAAATTTATAGTATTATGTGTTGAATATAACACTAGTTAAAGAAAAAGGATTGAAACTCTATATTGATTATAAATTGACCTAGAGTCACAGAAAGAACAGGAAGCTTTTATAATTTTCAAGTCCTTATTTTTTTGACCAATTCATTTCACTATATTTTATTCATTTATCAAATCCGTTGTTTATGCCAGAATAATTAAAATTTTTTTTAATTTTTTTCTCTAAATTCATTTTCTCAATCATATAGAGTATGAAAACAGCGCATCATAATTTTATTTTTGACGTTTATAGGTACAATTAAAACTTATTTCTTTCTGTATAAAGAAAAAAAACATATAATCGTGCATATGTTTACTGGGGGATATAGAATAGAAATGCATCGATTACTTCTTACAGTCATCAATATATTTATTATTGATTAGAATCATATTCAATGCTATTAATACATTTGCAATTAAGATGAGTGACGATTACCCATCATTGATTGACATAAATGAAAATACTTTTCATTTGATAGATTATATCTAAAAAGCTATTTTATTTTTTATAAATAATATAAATATATTTTGTTGATTTTCTTGCATTTGTGTGATATGAGAAAAAATTATCACGAATTCTTTTCACACACTTTTTGTCAAACAAATATTACACTAATAGTAGTTATATATTGAATCAAAGTATCAAAATAAAATAAGTCATTCTCAATGACAATATATGTAAATAAAGTAGTTTAGAGAAATAAAAATATGATAAATTAAACAATATTCAAGATTGGTCAAATTGATAAAGATTTTTTATTTAAAAAAAAATAAGATTATTCTACAAATATTCCATTTAATTGAGTCTTGAAATTTCTTTTTAGTTTCTCTTTTGAAAGTTATTTTGAATTTTAACTCTCAAACAAATTAAATACTCAAAAAAAAGTCAAAATTTTATTAATACACAACAAAAACACTGACATACGACACTGTTACTTACTGTATAAGCTTAACTAAAACAGAACAATCCAAAAACGGTAACGTACAAAACTATATAAGAATTCATTTTGGTATTTAACATATTTTTATTCTCACCGTTTTATATTTGCCGTACAAATAAATTCAAGATTTTACTATTCTCACTCAAGATCGTATAGACACGATTACATGTGTCATTGTTATTATCGGTTACCGAGTTTTTTTATGATTTGTTATGTATTTACAACCGTAACTTAGCAAGATATCTGTTACTTTAATTTATACAATACTTTATCTTTGGACTATACAAGTACAATTCAGCGTGACATGATGAAATACAATTTTTGATACTATGTATTTATTGCAATATATATCTAAAAACATATCTTTCATATATTTGATTTCTAAAAATAATGTTAACTTTTCCAACAATAAGACTAGATCATTCTATCTCATAAATTTTTATCTATTTGCAAATAATGATTCATGAAATTTCGAGATGTCTGCTAGTTTTATTTTATTACGTCGAAAAGAAAAAAATTTCATTTTTACCAACTTGCTTGTTTGTCAATGATAATAGGTATAAACTTTAATTCGTCATTAATATCACCGTGTTTATTCTATACAAAAACAAAGACTGTCAAAACTACGATATTTTTATAAATTTTCCAGAATAATTAGATGCTATTATCGATCCATACATTAATTTATGTCTCTTACTGGGAATAATATTGCGTAGATATTATATAGTGATATTTTTTTAGGCGAGCAATTATTAAATTATTTGTATTTTAGATTTTTTGATGTTAATTTTATTTTAGTGATTACTCCTTGTTAGCACACATAAAACTCTTGATCGTTTTACTCTTTAAATAGGCTTACAAATATAAAAATGTTAGCACAATAGTAAAGAGAAGAAAATGGGAAACTTGAAAAAAAGATTTGATTGTGCTAGCAGAACTTGAACCTGTTGTGGTAGACATAGCTGAAGTTGAGACAGTAATTGGACTTCCGGTGGTAGTTGTAACTGGACTTCCGGTGGTAGTTGTAGTTGGGCTGACGTCTGTGCTTGTGCTCATGCCTGAGCTTGTAGTTGTGCTACCTCCAGTTGCACTATAAATGAAAATAAGATAAATGCATAAAATTATCTGTAAGAAGTAGTTTTTTTCAATAATACCTTGTGGTGCTAGCTGTAGGCCATGGTGACGATGCTGTTGTTGAAGCAGATGAAGTCGACACGGTTCCTGTTGAGGCAGAGGATGTCGATGCTGTGAAAGTAATTGTTGCAGCTGTTGATGTTGATGGTGCAGCTGTTGATGTTGTTGGTGCAGCTGTTGATGTTGTTGGTGCAGCTGTTGATGTTGTTGGTGCAGCTGTTGATGATGTTGATGGTGCTGATGTTGATAATGTTGATGGAGCTATTGTTGTTGTTGATGAAGCTGGATCACTATTAATTGATAAAAATTAACCGTGTGTAATTTGAAAAAGTCGGATATTTATTTGATTTTTTTTCACTTACGTTTCTTTGCATGTACTTGACATAACTCCTTTGGTTGATTCACAAAATGCATATATCTCATTGCAAGACTTAACACATACACTGTTGTCACATGTATTGCTATCTAAATGAATTGGTGTGAGCGGCATTGGCGTGCATGCATTTCTTTTGCTTGGAACGCAACAACTGCAACTGCAGTCAACACCATAACCAGTAGCAGAAGCGAAAGTAACGCAACAGAGTGCTACAATAATAGCAGATAAGAGTGTATTCATTTGCATGATGAAATATATGTGTGTAGGAGATCTAAAAAATATTCAATAGAATAAAGTATTCTTATTTTATAAACGAAATAGAGAGTATATAAGAAGACATTGATTTCTTCTTTTCTACTAACGTTTTGTTAATATTACAAAGGCTTTTATACATGTGTTATCTTCATTTCATGCACACAAACAAACACCTTTTGTTATCAGTAACTTTTGGAAGATGCGCATTTTGCTGTTGATTATGTCAGTTTAATATACGTGCAAGATAAGATAAAATATATATTTGGACTTTGTATACAAAGAAAATTCTGATGAATAATATGTTGATTATTCTGTAATCGGATAGTTCATTCGCAGAATACTATTTTTTTGTCTAACACTCAATCGAGAAAGATTCCTATCCTACGTAAAAGCCAAACGAAAATTTAAAAAAAAATATAATTCAATGCTCACAGATATATTCATCTTAAAGAATATAAATAAAGACAAATTCTTTTAAATAATTCTAATAAAGTTCGATGACTTTAGTGGGCATAATTTTTATTAGCAAACAATATAGAATTAAACTAGTCAAATTAGAATTTATTAATTACAAGAAATATTCAATAAATAAAAATCTTTTAAAAAACCCAAATTTTATTTTTTAGTGAATAGGAAAATATACAGTATATGTTTGATTAATAATTTCATATAATGGTAAAAATTGAATAGTTGTTCCATCCAAAGCAATTGTTTCAAATAATAAAGATTCATATGATGTTCGATTTATTTTTCGAATAGTATTTATATCATTAGATAATATTTTAGCTTGATTTATTAAACCACCAAGAACAATAGGTCCATATAAAATTGAAACTAATTTTGAATTATCATTAATTGGTTCATAAGATAATTTCATATTCATATTATAAACAATTCGATCATTATTTCTCCAATTAATTCTTGGAAGATGTACATAACTTGAAGGTATTAAATCAATTGTTTGACGAATATTATTGATTTCAATCCAAGATTGATTAGAAACAATCCATGATGGGACTCGTAAATAAATATTCATTGAAATTTGATCTAATAAAGTAATGAAAGTTAAATTCGTTGTTGTTTCTCTTGGAAATGCTGTTATTTGTTGAATAGATAATTTTTGTGCAATCCAATCAAGTTGTGATGCAACAAATAAATTAATATAAATTGATAATATATTATTTTTATTTGAATAAAAATAAATTGAATCACTCATTTTAGTACATTGATCAATTGCGGTTGTATAACAACACCAAAAACTATCAAATTGTGTCCCGTAACCAGTTGATCCACCACCAACAGATTTTGGTTTACTAACACCTTCACCTAACGGATAACTATATAACATATGACCAGGTTCACTTGGATCTTGTGTACCCCAAATACTATTAACAAATATACGTTCAAATGCATCAGCATATTTTATTTCACCACTCCATTGTATTAACATTCGTATTAATTTAAGCATATTATATTGAACACAAAATTCTTGATTATTATTCCAAAGTGTTTGTGATAAAAGATTTGAATCACTATAACGTTCTTGTTGATAGAAACCTATTGATCCATTACCACCATTTGAACCACCTGTTGAATATATATGATTATTCCATACTATTGAATAGAAATTTTCTAATATTAATCGATATTGTTCTTCACCAGTTATTGTATAACGTCGACCACTACCTATTACAGGCGGTACATGTGAATTAGCATGTACACCTGCTAGAGAATCAGTATTTAGAGCAAGTGCACCAAGAAATCTTCCATCATCAAATTGTTGTGCCATCCAAAAGTATCGTTTATCATTTGTAAGACCATATTGTTCATAGAGAAAATCACTTATTCCACCATATTCATAACCAAGTGTACTAAAAACCATTGCATGCCAATGTGATATTGAATATGTTTGAGAACAAAAAATCATCCATGTATATAAATAATCAAGCATACTATTCATCATTTGACCAGCTAATGTTAAACCAGTTAATGTATACATATCAGATAAACCACGTAGAAGTTTTTCATAACAATAGATCGGCGCCCAGACTTTTTCCAGATGTTCTAATTTACGTAAATGTTCAGATGGCCATGCAGCAAGAAAACCTGATTCATCTAAATTTTTTTGTACACGATAAAGTTGTTCAACAAGATATTGAGCTTTAATTAATTGATGTGTATTATTATAAGCAAGATAAGCTTTAGCTGATGCTTGTAAATAAAAGGCGAGAAAAACACCACGAATATCGCTTGATGGTGATTCCCATCCACCTAATGATTCAATACCTTCAACACTTATATTAGCATTAACATAATAAGTATAGAGTAAACGATCAACAGGTAAAAGATCTAAATAAGCTTGATTAAGTTGTTGTCCAATAAGACTTGGTGAATGTGTTGAATTAATTAAATGAACTTGTTGAAGATAAAATGGAAGAAGTTTATTATAATCATTATTAATATAGGATGATGGTATTGGAAGAGAATTTAAAGAATTTAGAAAAAGAAAACCAAAAAAAACAAGTAATTGCATATCAAGGTATATGAAATAAAGACGAAAAAAGCTAATAGTCTTATCTAGTTTTGTTTATTATTAACTGATAATATTATACACACTTATTTTGACCTGTTGTATTGATATATCACATACTTTTTTATTCAATTATAAAATTAAAATCGATATACTATGCATACATAATTCTACAAATTTCAATATTTTTTTTCTACTTCTATAACACATAAGATGAAATACGATAGATGGTAATTTAACGTTCTTATAATTTCATGTATATACTTTTTAATTATTTTATTTAGTTGTAATTTTTAATAACAAAACAAAAAATTCTAAACGTTTTCAGTAGGAATTTCATTTAATAGATATCGTTTTTCTCTATATAATTTCCAAATAAATTCTCCAAATAAACTATTAGCCCACGCATACCAAGATCGTGTAAATTGTGTTGGATCATCAATATTAACTGATTCATGCATAAATCCAGTATAACCATGCGCTTTTTCTAACATACGTAAACATAAACGAATTTCATCATCATCTATTGCTGTTAAACCACGCATAATTATTGCAAGTGTTGATACCATTTCAGAACCCATTTGTTTTCCACTAATACCTATAAAATATAAATAAAACAATATATATATATATAAAATAAATTTACCTTCAAGAACAGAACCTTTGTAATACCAAGTATTATCGGTACTAAATATAAATTTTCGTGTGTTTTGATAGATTGAATTATTTATAGGAATAATATTTGAACATAGATAAGGTAAAGAAAGCAGTGAAGGAGCATGTGTACCATCCATTATATTTTTACTTCCCATTCCATTTATTTCGTATACATAAATTAAACCATACTTTTCATGTTTCTTTGTAATTAATGTTTCAAGATTATCTTTTATTTGCTCGTCAAATAAAATTTTGTATAAATCAGAATTTATTGAGAAAATATCAGAATCAAAATCATGTGTCCAATTGAAATTGTGTACAAGTTCAAATAAAAGTTTTAATGTATGATAAGCGAAAAATTGAGATGGAATTAAATATGGATAGGTTTGAAGATCATCACTTGGACGAAAAAATGAATAAATTAAACCATTTGGTTTAGCTTGGGGACCACGAGGATCAGGTGGATTACCTTCTCGTTGATATATATATGGACCTAAATTTATTAAAGAAATAAAAGACGAAGTTTCAGACATAAGTACAGTAGATTCTTACTAACTGTTAAACTCCTTAGTATAGTTACTAGAAGCTATTTTTACACATGTGTAATCACATAATGATACTGGAGAATTTCCTATAAGTATCTTGACGAAATTCATGAATCCTGCTTTTATAATCTCGTGATTTATTTAACAGAACTAACATGCAGTTTTATTATTAATTGCAACAAGATGAATGGAAATACCAAAAGTGGTAACAATCATGTATTCTAATAAATAGATTCCTCTTTGAAATATCTAAGATGTCAATATTTTGTTTTATTAAACATCTATACATAAAATATTCAATTACGATCACTGATAGAGCCAAAGAAGTGTTCCTTTTATACTTCAACTTAGTTATATAGATCAAATGCAAATAACTGATGACATATGTGTATCTATTTTGTATGTTGCATCTAGCAGAAAACGTGCCTTTTAAATTTTCAACAATTCTCATATGTTTATTTTTTTTTTACTTTGTAAAACATATGTCATTGTTTATTTAAACGATAAGAACATTATCAAATGAATGATAAAGAAATAAGACAAATCATTAAATTTAGTTAATTTGTATTTAACTTTTACTTACCTAGTCTACTATATCGTCGTTGTACTTTGAGTGTGTCTAAAATAATTCGAATAGTTATTTTAAATTCAGCTTCATATTTAAGAAAAAATGTTAAATCATGATTAACTTCTTGCCAATATGAGTACATTAATCTTAGAACATAACAAAGTGAATCTAAACCCCATTTTCGTTCATGTATACCATCACGCATTTCTGTATTAACTAAATATTTCCATTCGCTAATACGATCGAAATTTTTATAATATGCACTTGCATATGGATCACGTTGAATACATATCAATTGTCGTAAAATAACACCTTCAATTAATTTACGAAGTTTTAAATCATTTTTCATTAATGGTAAATAAGGATGTATTTGTGCACTTGAATCACGTAACCACATTACATTAACATCACGTGAAATGACATAGGTATCAGGAGGTTTTGTTGCTGTTTCATTAGCATTGAAATCAACGGTTGTATCAAGAGTATTAGGAAAACAATTTTCAAATAACCATGCAAGTTCTTTATTTTTGATATTTTTTTTTATTTCAGCAATTAATGATTCGACAGCTGTGCTTACAAATCGACGTTTATCTTTACTAATACGTACTTGAGCTAATTTACTATTAGTAGAACTATTCTCAATAATTAAACTGTCATTTTGATAAGGATTAGGAACTATTGGTTGAAATAATAGATCAAATCTTAAGACCAAAATGATACCAATAATGAATGCGATTAGAAATAGATATGGCCGATTACATGATCGAAATAATAATACCATTGCTTTAAAAAGTAAAACATTCAAAAAAAAAAACGTTGATTTTTTCGTTTTACTTTTCGTCAACATTTTTTTTCTTAAGTAAAGAGACACTCATGATTTTAATGTTCTTTCTTCTTTCGATTAAATATTATTTTATTCTCGCTCTCTTTCTTTTTTTTTGTACCATTAAATTATAATGTAACACGTTTCATACAACTCAGTTCAACTTACATCATCGATTATTTATATATACAGTTAATTACAAATGATTTATCCGAGATTTGTATTTGATTTTATGCATAAGTTGAATCATAATCTTCATTCGTACAGTTATCTAATTTATTTGTTGTAGTTGAAAATACGTGATTATTTTTATGTTCATTAAAACAGATAATCGGCTGTTGACTAATCGACATTTTAAGTGCTTGTTGTCTTGTTAATTCGTATCGTTGAATAAATTCAAATGGTTCTGCATGAATATCAGTTGATATATGTAACATATCTAGTGCATCTGTAGCCATTTGAGTTGTCATACTCGTCGAATAAGTTGGTACTTTCATACGACGTTGTTTTCGTCGAAGACGTTGTCGTATACGACGTCGTTGTCTTGCTGATAATCGTTTTTGTTTAATAGACAATTGCTTTGAATATTGTTTCATATATTTGTTACGTCTCATTATTCATCGATTTGTTCTTTTTTCATATAAACAAAAAAACTAAGCAGTTAATTTTATGTTGACAACCAAAATCAATAAAAAAATTATAAATAATGTCGAATGATTCTCAAGGTTTTATTTTTTATTTGTAAGTGCTTCGACTTCTTTTGACTCATCAATTCAGTGTAGCCAGCTGTGTTCTTATATTCTCCATACAATTGTCGTATCATAGACTAAAAATGAAAAGTATTTTATAATAGTTTTCCTTTCTGCATTATTCTTTCATATTATTTTATATAGTAAAATGCAATATCAGTTATTTCTACTATGTTTTATTTCTCATCAATTCTTCATTATTACAAATGCATTATCAAATCATAACCAGAATAATTCGTTAATAAATATCAATCTTCATCAATGTAATACTAACAAGACAATAATTAATACGACAATTATGATGATTGATCCAATATTTAATTCATGCAATCTCACTTGTTGTGTAGAAAATAGTTCCAATGTAACAAGTAATTTGAATACCTGTCAAGTGACTGCACTGTCATCGACCGGTGTTTGCCTTGGTCGTATTTGTTATTCAGGAGAATGCGATCAGTTTGTGTCAGTAACAAATTTAACTTACTATCGAACAATACTAAATGATACAACATTATTGAATACAATTCCTTGGTCGACACTCAATAATTCAATAGGAATAAAATGGAATCTATGGAAAGAAACAGAAAAATACACAATTACTGATTATATTTTAATTTTATTGTTAACTACAAATATTTCTTTAATATTTGTGGCATCTTCTGTGATTATCAAATCAATAAGCAATGCCAAAATGATTGCTGAAAGAAAATCACGTCGATATTCATTATTTTAAACATTTATTTGAATTTATCATAGTTTTACTGTAATACGTTATTGCTCTTATTTATAATTACTAATGGATAATAATCAATTCTATGAATTTAAAATTCAATTTTAAATAAATATTCTATTTAATCTTAACCGAAAAAATACTTCTTCTGTTATCTTTCTTAAATTTAAATCTTTTTATTAAAATTAAAAATAATATTCATAAAAAAGAAGTAAATTATTGACAATTTTGTACTGTTTGTGTTACTTTGTCAACATCAGCGCCCATGTTTGAAAGTATTTTCTTTAATTCATTTACTACTGTTGGTGACATTGTTTTTGTTCGTCTAAATGATAAATGAATATATATAAGTAGATTTATGAAAATGGTTCAATACTTACGAAAGAAGCCAGATAAATTCTAATTTTATATCAAGTACCGGAACATTGGTACAAGCATAGACAAGTGAATAATCAGCATAATTTGAAGTAAGTACATTGTAATCACCTTTTTGTACTACGAAAAAAAAATAAGATAATTACTGATAGAATTCTTAAAAAGAAATTTTTTTACATGGACTGTCAAAAGTAACAACAAATGCAGCAGGTTCTGATGCATTTTTGACTCTAGCTGTACCACGAATACTTGTATAATCACCAAGAATATTTACTGCTTGATTCCAAACAGCTACTGATCCATCTGAATTAGGTGTATATGTTGCATTGACACATCTTGATCCAGCTTCAAAAATAATATCACTTCGATATGCTTCATACCATAAACCAACATACTTAATAAAAATAATTATTATCAATTAAATTTATATATATATATATATAGTTACTTTAGTAACATCAAAATCTTTTTGTGTAACAATTGTTGGACATTTACTTGCTAATGATAAATTAGCAATTGATAGAACAATGAAGACAATAGTTGAAAGTTGCATGTTGAGTAAAATTTTGTATATAATGTTTTTTCTTACGCATATTTATAGGTGTTTTTTTACTCAAGGTCACTATTATATAAGTGTGTCAGGTAAAGGAGGACAATGTCTAAAGCATTATATAACCACTAATATATTTGTTGTAGAAAAGAAAGTAAAAACATCGAAACAGCTTAAGTCAATAATAACAGGTGACAAAATTTACATGAAAAACAATAGATAAATCCTTTTTAATTTAATTTAGAATTTTGATAATAACAAAAAGAATAAATTGATTTTAATAATATTTGAAAAGGCAATACTTTTCTCTTTGAATATTATAAAGAGAACATCTAAAAATAAACTTATAGTTATATCATAGATATATTTATTTACTTTTATTCGTTAAGGTGTTATCTACATCTACCAACTAGCCTTATGTGAGTAGTCATTTTACATTAGATATTCTTTTTATAGCACAATAAATCAGTTAGATTAGAAATTCTTAATCGTATTTATTTCAATACGTTTAAAACCTAATTATCAATCTTTAACTAATCATATTTTCTAGAATTTTTCGTTTATCTAATAAACAAATCTTACAGAAGAAAAAAATCTAAAAGAATACAATGAGAAAATAAAGCTTAAAATACATATATATATCTTCATATTTAATTTATACACGATATGGAAATCTATCATTATTATTATTATATCCCCAAGATTGTAATGGTGCTCCATTTCCATCATAAAAAACTTCAGCTAATACTCTAATCCAATCAGTTAACCACCATATAAATGTTGTAAGACTAAAAGTAACATTTATAAGAGTAGCTATTGAAGCGAGATTTGGCTTTTTTTTCGATAGATTAAAAATAATTACAGGCCATGCAGTAATACATCCCAATGAAATAATTAATTTAATAATACCAGCAATAATATAACCAGCTTTACCTTGTGATAAAATAAACCAATCAATACCAGATATACCCACAAAAAAAGATACAAGAAACGCTGTTAATTTTGTTCGTTGTTTATAATTACAAACATCCATAAATTTCCATGTTATATATCCACGATAACATTGACACTTATAAGCTTGACAAAAACCATGACCACATTCATAATCATTTGAACACCATCGTCCCCATCGACGTAAATATGATAGTCTATTAGAATGAATTATATTTTTTTCTGGTATAATACGACTATGTCCAAGAATATTTAATAAAGTAAAAATAATGATTAAACTATATATCATTTTATACATGGTAATATCAAAAAGTATATAAAAAGAAATGAAATAGTTTATTGTTTTACAAACGAAATTTTCTTCTTCTCTATTTAATTTATAACAGGTTCTTTTTCTTCCTCATATATATATATATATATACTTGATATATTGGCTGCTATTTACACAGAAAAATCTATATTCATGATTTTATTGAATACATATATATATATGTACAAGAGAAAGTATACTTTGTAGATATTCGAAGAAAGTAATATATATATGATGAAAATGAGTTTAATACAAAAGAGAATAATATCAGAACTAAATTACCGAAAAAAAATCGAGGATTTTTATGTATGAATGTCACTTAAACAAGCACTATATTTATGTAAATGTTAAACGTTCATGTAAATGACATAGGTAACGAATGATGTATGTAGATTTATAATAGTGAAGACCTTCAAACTAGATTTATTTCATATGTGAATAGAATATGATGAATATATATGAAGATGTGAAGAGATAATCATAAAAATTTATTTGTATTATTCAGTAATCTTTGAAAATAAATCTCTGTTTTTTTTTGAATTCGAAATAAAAAATGATTCTCTTTTTTTCACACGAATATGTTTTATTTGTTAGGTCATAGTGAAGTTTATATTGTTGACCTTTATGAAACATCTGAATAATATCTGAAAGAAAGAAGATTTTTTTTTTCGTTCAAATCAATACTATTAGAAATAGATTTTATTGTAAAATAAACTTCTCGAAATATTCCAATTGAATCAATTAAATGTTTGAAAGTGAATTATTGCTTCTCATGTAAGAAATTTATATAAACTTAATGATTTAACAAAATTTAATGTTACTCTTTTCATCATGAAAACGCGTTTAAAAAGTGGATTTAACCAAGTCTCATGCATGTTTTTTCGTTAGAATAACATCTCATTAAAAAGTAGTTTTCATGGTCAAAAAAGTAACATTAAATTTTGTTAAATCGGTAAGTTTATATAAATTTTTACATGGATTAGATATAATCAATAGCCATCGTCTATGCAATACATTGTAGACATCATTAAACATGAGATAGATCAATATTTTTAAAGAACATTTGTCGTAGTTTGAATTACTTTCAAACTTTTTTCTTATTATAAAACGATTGATCTTGATTCTATTCAACAGAGTTGTCTCTACATGAATAAATCCTTGTTTGACATTAGTGAGAGTTTACCACGTGAAAACAAACTGATTTCACTCTGTGTCAATACAAGAATCTTTATAGCCGACAACAATTATATATTACATACAATATTCACAATTGTAAGTTTTTTTTCGGCGAAAAATTATGCATTATTTATAATATTGTTGATACTTTGAGATGAATTTTTTTTCTTTTTCTTTTCTTCAGTTAGTAGTATTTAAGGGGCACCCCCTGATTATACAGTTCTTGTTTTTTTTCTTCCTTTTTTTTCTTATGCAATAAATCGAACAGAATAACAAAAAAAACATGAGTCATTTAGTAACGTAAAATCTCGTTATTGCTTAACAACAAATCATCAAAAAGGTAAAAAAACAAGTGTTCTGTCCTCATTTTTCATCTATATATTTATGGAGCAACCATCAATAACTCCAAGTGACTTTTATTTTGCTTGTCGAAATAATAAATTAGAACTCGTTGTTCAATTATTAAACGATCGACCATTGGAAGATATTGATCGAATAGAACCTAATAACAGTTCTGCTTTGCATGCTGCTTGTTATTATAAACATGCTGATATAATAAGATTATTATTAGATCGTGGTTTTACTCGACGTGTGCTAAATATACATAATGAATTACCAATTGATGAAGCAGGTGATGAAGAACTTCGACAATTATTTCATCGTTCTGATTTATCCAATCGATTTGGTGGTGATATATCCTATGAACAAGAGAAATTAATATGGATTGTAATCGATGGAACTAATCAAAATCTTATTACAAAACGTATGAAAGATATGTATAAAGGAAATCGTTTAGAATATGGAATATTTCGTGGTGAAGAAATCTGTCAACAATTGAGTAATATGCCTAAATGTGATGTTATTCGACGTTATTTTCGTCAAGCAATGGAAGAAAAAAATTCTACTCGATTAATTCAAGCATATACAGCTGAAACAAATTTTTATAATTATGTTAATAATTATTTGTTAACAAGAGATGAACAAAATCTTTTATCACAATTTATACAAACAATTTATTTTAATGAAAAATTACATAAAAATTATTCATTTAAAGGTTTATGTTATCGAAGTATTCGTGTAGATTTTGAGCATGAACTTAGTTTATATACAAAAGGAAGTAAAATATCGAATCAAACATTTATTTCAGCAACTCGAGAACGTTTATTGGCCGATGAATATGTTTCTCGTCGTTGTAATCAAAGACAATATACAATTATGATGATATTTAAAATTCGTCATGATCGTACGGCGTTAGATATAGAAAATATATCAGAATTTCCACATGAAGAAGAAATTTTAATTATGTTTGATAGTTTATTTGAAGTAAAAGATGTTATTCAAAAAGATAAATTTTATTACGAAATTAAATTATATGAAGTTAAATCAGAATATCGAAGATAAATAGTTACAAACAATCTACATGTGTTAAATCGTTTGTTTCATCGATTTAATTTTATGAATATGCCATTTGAATACACAACAGATCAAATTATGTGATAAATATTGATATAAAGTCTATTCAAAATTTCGTTTCGATATGTTGGCCAAATCTTTATCTACTTGATACAACTGACTTATATTTTTTTTATTAAATTTATTGAAGATTAATAATCATATTGACTGCATTTAATAAAAAATAAATAAAGAATTAGAATTATTTTTTTATATTAATAAATTATTTAGCGTTATACATGTATGTATATATTCGATTTTATATCAACTCGTAATTATCTTCAGTCGTTAGATAGTGTGATTTCGTGGCACAATTTGCTTCGAATAAATTCAAAGCTTTGTTTTTACTGTTTTTTTAGTCTTAATATAACAACAAATATTGTTCTATAACTATGATATTTTCTTCCGACACGTTCAGTAACACATTCAGCACGATGGATCTCATGGGAGAGTCTCACTTTATTCTAACAAGAAACTCAATAGAAAACATTTTTTCATTGTTTTTCTTAGTCAAAAGTCACACGCAATGTGTCCTCTGTTCTGCTACTGTTACTCTTCAAAACAATCTGAACACAAAGTTTTAATTTTTTTGCTACCGCATAATGCCCTTCTTTTGATTGTTGTCGCCAAGTTTTTTTCCGAAGTAGCGAGTATAACATCTATGAACACTGTACACAAATCCGTACTTTTCCTCGAGCTTCTGATCAACGAGTTTGCGCTTTGACCTGCATTTTAAATTCTCACATAGCAGATCCGTACAAGACTTCATCGAAATGATAGCATACAAATATGTATATTTCTTCAACCATCAGTAACTTTTTCCTCGGAACTCGAAGATTTAAAGTTCATTCTATGAAAATCATCATCTAGACAGTTCACATCATTTTATATAAAAGAACATAGGAAAAGCGGCTATAAACTTTGTTCTCTTATCTTGCATATACTACCTATAAAATATTAAAGAACGAGAAACTAATGTGAGAGATTCTCTTCACATGACCATCAGAAATAACTAATTATGTATTGACACAAATAAGAATATGATGAATTATTGATAGAAGATAATGAAAATGTGACTAAGGACATTTAATAAAAGTTAACTCTCCATAGATGTGCATATTTCGAAGATGTCTGCTAAAGATCAATTTAACTACTATGTACAACAAATTTCATTCCAATCTGCTTTAAAGATCGTTCCCCAAATAACAAAACATCTTGTATGAGGACACGGATTAGTTGTTTTAAATATACTACGTAATGAATTAATAAATGCATACAATTGTACCTCGATTTCTATTGAGTTAGCATTATTTTCAATATTAATTGTTGACGATTGAAATGCTGACAAACCACCAGAAGTATGTAATTGTTCTTCATTTTTCGAATTATGATAACGGATAAGAATACGAGCAATATATCCACCTTTGTTTTCTACACGGATTTGTATGGAATCAACGAAGATTTCTATAATTCATAATGAAAAAAAAAATCTTCGGAAACGATTTTAAATATTATTTAATCATCATACCATTTATAATAAGAAATACAAAAATAAGATAACAAGCATAGTAATTATATCGCGAGAACATATTGAATAAAAAAGATACGAACAATAATACAATGAAATAAATCAATTTTTTTAAGTACATATTGATTGATCCGCCTTTAAAAAAATCAATTGTTTTTCTATTGACTGATTCTTTTATCTATATACAAGTTTTTTTGTACATGTGGTCAAAGAGTTTAATCATGCAAATTACAATCTTATACTAATAAATCAAGTTTTATTTTGAATTTTTATAAATAGGTAGCTTTAACAGTAATGGAATTAACAATTGTTTAAGTATTTTTCAAATGGAACAAATGACGAAAAATACTATTTATAAATCGAAAGTCATAATATAGATACATGTACACCTACTTGCTTAATTCATTATATCGATGTGACACATTAACATCTGCTAATTTTCGACATGTCAATGCATTTTTTATTAACTTATTTTTACTTTCTTTTATCAAATGTTCCTTGAAATAATATTCCAATTGTTTTATAATTAAATATATTAAACAAAACTTTATTCAGTTAAAAATAACACTATTACATATAATCGATTAATACCTTGGCTAGTATTCGATACTATTGATAATGTATTAAACATATTCATATGAACACAAAAATCACTTCGAGCTAATTTCTTATTTTCTGTCATCAACTATAGATAATATCATTTGATCTTTTTACAAGATTACGTTCAGGATGTAACGTTGGAATACACTTGCTTGTCAATATCAATTTTATATAATATACATGACATTATCTTTATGTACATTATTTCTCACCTATACTAGTATTGATAGATGAACTTCATCCTCTGTCAATGCCACTACACATTTATTTAGTCAAATATATGTATGGTTGTTTGTACAACTTTATTTACTTGTATATCATCGATTTCAATTAAAAGTTTATCGAGTTTTTTTTTATTATGTCATTAATATTAAAATGTTCTTTTATATTTTAACAATAACAAAGTATTCATTGAGTACATTAATGCTTTTATTCATTTCCGATCGAAATGTATATTATCTTAATAATAGGAATATATGTAGGTGTTTTACAAAAAATGATAATTGCAGATGTTCTTCGTTTGTTGTTTGAAAAGAAAAAATATTTTTCTTCTAAAGTATTAATTCATCTGATCGGTGAAAACGATCTATACAAATACAATCTACAAATAGAACAATCTAAAAGATAAATAATGATTGAATCGATTTTTTCTTCTGTCCTAAGAACATTAGAATATTCTCTTAATTCCATTCTCTTTAAAATGTCTAAAGATTCTAATCACCTTCTGACTGCTTGCGTAAGTTTCTTAATCCAATTTCTTTAGAAGTGTTTTTAGATAATTGATTTTCGTTAATATTTACTCTTCGTGAGAAATAATATGTTCGTACAATACAATAAAAACAAAGAGAAAATATTTTAGTTTGTTTTCTCTCTTTTTTTCTTTCTCTCTCTCTCAAAAATACGATCGGAAAATGGGAGAAAGAGAAAGATTTATTATATATATATATATAGAATAGCAACATAAACGAACGATTACTTCATATATAAAAAAAAACATCAGTTCATCTTGATTCAAATTACATAATGACTACTACTACTATGTCGACAATTATTGTTGCTATCCTTATTGCTGCTATGTGTCAATTAGGCACCATGGGTGAAGAAGAAAAAGTAAGTCTTTGTATATTAAATCGGAAGAGGAAAAAACAACTTTTCTTTTGATATTAAAACTATACATATGAAAGATCTTATTTAACATGTCAAGATAAGAAAAGTATTATCAATAATCATATATCGTGAGAATTTGAGACAATTAATTGTGATTAAATAGAAAGGGCATATTTGTTTTCTTTAACGGACATAAATAATAAAGAATAAATTGGTGAAAAGTTCTCAATTAGAAACGATTATTATTCAAGGATGTATTTTTTTTCTTTTGTAGAAACGTACACTTGATTCTTTATCAGGCTCGGATTTTTTTAAAAAAGTAAGTTTTTATTTTTCATATATATTAGATTTCGATGTTTATTATCATTTAGAGTCTTGACAGTCTTTCGGGCAATGATTTTTTCAAACGTGAAGATGAGGTAATTTCTAATTTATTTATTCTAATTTTTTAAATCTATGTATATGTATAGAAACGAACACTTGATTCCCTTTCTGGCTCGGATTTCTTTAAAAAAGTAAATATAAGAAAATTTATTTATATCAAAAAATTCAACTAATTATATTTAGAGTCTTGATTCACTTTCGGGCAATGATTTCTTTAAACGTGAAGAAGAAGTAAAATACATTTTCATGATAAATTCATTCAATTATTTTCTTTTTTCTTAGAAACGAACATTAGATTCATTATCAGGCTCAGACTTCTTCAAGAAAGTATATTTCTTATACTATTTTAAATATTTTCAATAAATTATTTTATTTTTCATTAGAGCTTAGATTCATTATCTGGTAATGATTTCTTCAAAAAGGTATATATTCTATAATTTTAATTATTCATCTAGAATATTTCTCTTTTTTCCTAGAGTTTGGACTCATTATCTGGCAATGATTTCTTCAAGAAGGTATTAAATTTACCAAAAGAATTTCATCTTATCTTTTTATTTTAGAGTTTGGATTCATTGAATGGAAATGATTTTTTCAAACGAGTAATAATATATTATTATGAAATTCAATCTTTTTTTCTAATCTTGATAATATAGAATTTAGATTCATTATCCGGCAATGATTTTTTTAAACGTGGTGTAAGACCAATGACAGTATTCAGACATCCACACCGACCTGCACAACGTCCAAGATGGTGACCTGCTTGTTCTACTTCTTCTTCTTTACGTATTAAATATAAATAAAGTGAAAATTTTCAAAACAGCAAAGAAGAGAAAAAAAATTCAACTTAATTGTCAATATTCTGTGAAAATTTTTTGTTCTTGAATTTCTGATTTTTTCCTAATCAAATTCAATAAATAAGAAAATGATTAACAAAATTCGTTCAAGAATAAATAAAAAAATTTTCTGTTTGACTATAACTTTAGAAAAAAAAACTATATTTAAATAATTTTGATTGGTATACTTATGCTATTTAGTATATTACAAGCACTCAAAACTGTCAAATAAAAAAATAATAAAAACATCTGGTTATTATTATTAAACTGTCAAAAAATCTATTTCTGATAATTGAATGCTACGAACTTTATTTACTGCGATGCTAAAAATAGGATCGTTGATATGATTTTTAAATAAAAAATCCGTAGTCTTAATTTGGAATAAACCTGAAAATGCACTGCAATAATCTTAACCATTAATAGGAAGATTTTTACTTACGCTTACCACTCAGACGACTACTATCAGTTGGATAGATTATTTTTCATTATATTAAAATTGACATGCATGAAGATGAAGAAGGAAATGATATATATCTATTTTGTTTACGATCACAGCTTGATAAATGATAATGTGTACTATAATCCTTGAACGTACTCAACTTGCTTACTATATAGGTAAACAGTTACGATAATTTATAACTCGTGAATATTTAATTTGTTTATATAATTGTAGAAATGCAAAATCTGATGAATTTTCAGAAGAAAAATAAAAACATGTATTCTCGTACATTGATTAATAAAATTAGTTATTCAATAAATATTAATAATGTGTAGAAAAATACATTTCTTTTTTATGAAAAAGTACATGATTGATATAATATTTTTCTTTAACCCGTTAATTATATACGTCAAAGTAAACGTTAAGTATTACCGATATCATAAAACATATATATTGAGAAAAGTTTTCTACTATCGTTAAGTATCTGTGAATTTATTAAAAAGATTTAACAATGAAGAGATTAAATGTTTAATGGTTCTCTAGCTTCTCGTTCATGATATTCATGAGCAAGTGTACTAACAAATGAACCAAGTGATACAGGTAATGGTTGAATATGTTCGAAAAAGAAAGCATTTATTTGTGCACCTATTATAAATATCACTGCTGCATAGAAAAGAAATAATAGTAAAATAATTGCAAATCCAATTTGACCTGTATAACTTGACATAAATTTTTTAATATAAAGTGGAAAAAGTAACATAAAGATTTCTAAACATCCAGCAGAAAATATGGCTCCACACCAGGTATTTTTAAATGTTATTTTTCTATTTGGTACTAGTAAATATATAATTTCAAATAAAATAAATGAAACACATAAACTTGTAACAAGTCCTACAATATATGTAACAAAACGTCCACCAGTATTTGGTATAAAATTAAGAAGTATTGAAGGAGCTGATGATGCAAATATCATTATTGGAATAAGAACAAGAAAAAGAACAAGCATTCCGATGCCTAAAACATATTTTCTAACAAAATTACGTTCTTCAACACGATAAATTATTGTTAAAGTTCTATCAATAGAAATAAATAATCTTGAACTACCAATAATACCAAATAATATACCAAATGCTAAAATAATTCCAGCATCCTTATGTAATCGTTTAAATGCCATTTGTATTATAGTACGTACACCATCTTTTGCCATTGGTGGAAATGCATTAATAAGTTTTTGTCGTATACGATTTCGTAATTCAGGATGATTATCAAGTACTAGACCAGATATACCAAATAATGTTATAGCCATTGGTAAAAGTGCAATTAATAAATTAAATGCTAACATACCAGAAAAAACTAATGCCCAATCATATTTACATTTTTGAATAAATAAACGATAAGGTGTTGTTTCTTTTTTAGCATATTGAAATAAACGTGTTTGAGTAACTATTGACTCCATTTCTAGTACACCAATCTATAATGAAATTATCCTAGACTGTCTTGTACATATATATATATATGGATATGCATATTACATGTTGTTCTTTTTTTTTTCTCTTGTTCTTTTTTTATTTAGCCTTGTCAAGATATACTATTATTGGCTAGAAAAACCTTGTTGTTCGTAATTATCCTTGTGATTATGGTATTTATTTTTTGGGGTTTCATTGATTTTGCTCGTATGATAATAAATCTGTATGTATAAGAAAAAGTAAAGATGGAAAGAAGAGTAGCGAAGCAAGGTGAAAAAAAGAAAAAAAAATTTATTTCGAGCACAGAAATCTCCTGACGTTAGTCTTATGCTCTAATCATAATAAGATGAATTTGGGGTATGGGTATTGTCTTTAAGGTGTATTAACCGACTCACGACCACATCCGTCTATAATCTGCAAGAATCTCAGGCAATTGTATCATGGTATATAAAGTTTTATTAATTAAATATAAAGAAAGACATCTACATCTATTATAAAAAAATATTATAAATTTACTTGAAAAATTCTTTTATTAAACTAAAAATCAATAGGGATTTAACTTTGAATATTTAAAATATAGAATTTCAAATGAAATTTAATTTAATCTTTATCAAATATTTATGCATAGAAAAACAAACGAATAATAAATTAAATCTGCTTTCATTGAACCATCAGATCAGTTTTCATCTATTTCTTTTGTTAAAAATATAAAAAGAATTATTTTTTCAAATGAACGAGATTTCATTGGATATTTTTCAAGTCATCAGGGTGTCTGTTGATATTGAAATCAATCAAAATATAGCTATTAACTGAATTTTAAAAAGAAAAATTTATGAATAGATTACATTTAATATTCTCACAACATCGTTATCAAGAAGAAAAATAGTAAAGACGTGATTCATAAAGTCTAGTGAAGTTTTAAATTTTAATGTCTTGCAAATCAGGAGTAATCTAAGATCTCTTAAAATGAAAATATTCGATAAAATACATCACTAGTGTTTGTTGAATATTAACTTATTTTCAAATTCTTATTCATCATTTTACATTTAGAATGTAATTAATCCTCAATACTTCGAAATAACTAGATTATTCGAGTTTTACGACGGTACTTATCTTTACTTTATTAATAAACTTTAATGATACTTACTCTTTTTATTCAATATTCGTCTAAGATTAAAATAAATATCTCATAATAAAAAATATCAGTCACATGAATAACGAAATTATTTCGATATAAATAGATTTATTTATTAGATGTTCTTACCATAGTCGAATCACAAGTCGTATTATCTTGAACTATATTACGTTTGAATTTTATTCCTCTGAAAAAAATATTGTTAAACAATAAATTTCATAAAATTTTATGAAACTATTATCTACAAATATAAGTTATCTTAAGTGTTTTGTTGTTTTCAACATATCATGAGCTCGTTTTATTAGAGATAATAAAATGTATTCGTATATAAACCATTAACATTGAGTAAAGTTCTAGTAACAACTTCTACGAACAAAACTCGAACAAGTAAGAAGAGTAATATTAATATACACTGGTAAAGTTATTTTATTTCTAGATCGAAACAACAACAAAAAATGCTATCAATTCAATCAATTGTCTTGGTCTTTTGCATTTCATTCGTAAAAAACTTATACAATATAACATATGTGACACTATTTATTTAATTATATTTAGGTTGCAGTGCAAGGCCAATTTACCTTCAAAAACTGTGGTACAGCCAATCATCATATTCAATTAAAAGGTCTTAAAATATCTCCTCATCCAGTATTACTTCCTGGCTTGTGTACATTCGAACTTCTTGTTAACGTTTCGCATGATATAATCCATCCACTTCAGGTACTGCTAAAATATTTGATATATAGATGTTGTCTTTATCTAAATTATTTCTAGACCAAGTTCGACATAAAAGCAAAAGTCCTTGGCTTTGAAGTACCGATTCAATGTGAAGGAACTTCTGGATCATGTACTCATGCCGATTGGTGTGGAACTGCTTGTACAACATGCGAGTGTCCAGTAAAATCGGTACAAATTTCGTTCTTTATATTTATATTTAGTAAAAAATTCTTTTGTTTATTAAGGGTGAACAAACACTGACTATACCATTGGAATTCAAACAGACCCTCCCTCTGGTCTCAAGTGGTACAGTCAACTCGAAGATCGAGTATTTATCCGCAACAGGTCAAACTGGATGCATTGAAGTATCAAATGTTCAAGTTAGAAATAAATAATTTGAACAACAATGAACTTTAATTTTTTTCAAGAAACATTTGAAATAAAAAATAAATTCTTCAACTTAATATCAAAAGACTTTGTAAAATTATTCTACAATATGGAATAGATATAGAACTAACAGATATATTTGCTAATATAGATCATACTACTACACTGAATTAGATCTGATAAATGAACATAATTAAAAGCCATAGATTAAAACTAGATCATTGTCTATAACTAAGACAATAGATTGTGACCTACATTTTCAAGACTCACTTATATAAAAATAAATATCAGACAAGTTGAAGCCGGTAGCACCATCATCTCTTAAAACCTAGAAAAAATTAGTTTTGTACATATAAGTATTGTTTTATCTTTTCATCAATGATGAAATGACGGCATATCGTTTCTTCATCAAAATTATTAAATGTACAGTAAAAAAGAAGTTCTTTTGAATATATATATACAATATATATGTTAATAGTATAAGTATAGATATTCTTAATACAAATAAAAGATTCATATAAAAGCACAAAGTGCTGATCTTAATCATATAATATAAGATTATGACAATGGAGCTTCTTTTTATTATATATTTTGTATTTTTACATAAAATTATCTTTCATCGTGTACATGTATGATTCAGCAAATGTTTATGATAATACTATGTTAAACTAAGATTATTTTTATGAACTCAGTATAAATACTTAAATTCCATACAAACTCACCAAGTTATACAATGCTACTTATGACACATCTTCATAATTAAAAAAAACTTCGTACCATTGTGTTACTTTAAAAATTTCTATTAGATGTCAACTGTGCCGTATGAGTATTAATTATAAATTAATGAACATCAAACTAGTAACGAATAGTTTATATTTAGATACCTTTGTAAGAAAAAAAGAAAATTTTTATCTTAAGACATAATATAAAGAATTTATGACCGATTGTTCTAAACTATTATAATCATGTACATCGCTTTATTAAGTAAAATATAATCAAGATTAAGCGAATGTAAAGTACTTCAAATTCAAAAAAGAATGTTTTTATTTTATTATTGACCATAAAAAACGAAACAACGTGCTTCAAGACTTATTTGTTGAATATCATTCATAGGTACGTGATCATTGATAAATCCTGTATGAGGACAAAATTGAGCAACATTTGGATCGCTATCGAACATTTTAAATACCAATAATTCATCCGAACGCATTTCATTTAAATAATACCATTTTTGTGTATTTTGAGCATTGTGTGAGATTGTAAAAACTGAATAAGTAATAGGAGATCCTCGAACTTCGGTCAGATGAATATCATTTTCGAGATCTAAAGAACGATAATCACATAGAGTTAGAGGATTTCTTGTAATAATATTGGATCCGATTGGTCGCCAAATATTAATAAGCTGAAATCGATTGCGTGTTAGCTTTTTTGCCTCTTCTTCACCAACAACTTCTTTTAGTTTTAAGTAAACACCAGGTCCATCAAAATCTACATGTGGATGAATAGCAGGACTTTTATGATTTGAATCACAAAGATCGATAGCACGTGATGGACCTCGATATCGAAATACATGATTAAATACGATTACTCGAGAAGCATTAAGACGTTTCTTAAGTAGATCTGCAAGTTCTTCATAATAAATTCGTTGTTGCTCATCACCATTATCAAACTCATTGTTTACTTGACCGTTATATTTATGCACTTCAAAGCCATGAGTATCAAGATCGAATTTATTCTCTTGACCTCGCATATTATGAATTATAACATCAGTTGATGCTGGTATAAAACTCGGGATTGGCTCAGTCAATGTATAACTTGCATCAATGCATGGTGCTGATCCATCAACTGTATGACTGAAAAAATTAAGTTTTGCACTAATATCGTTGTTATTTGACATTTTGAGTTAATTCTAATTGATAAAAATAAATGTATACAATGAGAAAGAAATGATTCTCTTACATATTTGTATATAGCTGCTTTTTATACGAGTAGATAGGAGATAAGCATTTGTACTAGATTAAAATTATTGTTCTCTCTCGCAATGCTTGAATATGAAAAAAATTTCTTATCTGACCCTCTTACACAATATCTTTAATAACGAGCGTGTGAAACAAACGTGATGAGTACAGTGTAACTTAAACTTCAACTTTGTTCTTTGTTTTATTATCTATTTGACATCAAATACAGTTTCTTCTTTTCATTATAATATCGGTGTGTGTCGATGTATTGATCTAAAAACAATTCGATAAAAATCCTGTGTATTTTTCATAAAATTATGTTTCATCATATATATATATATGTATATATGATTCGGCATTACAAAGGTATTTATTAGTGATCATTTCTAAAGAAAAAAAATAAGAGTATTATATAATACATTTTTGATCCCTTTGTCCGTATTTCGCACCTAGTATAATAATTATCTTTGAAAAGATGTATAATAAGTAGTTTCCCTAGATTTAGACACTAGGACCTATCATTGATAAAATGTAAGCAGGTACAGGCATAGATGACGAACAAATGTAACACTTCACACTAGCACTGACATCTCGATTTTGAATCTGAACATCCACAATATGCAGCTGTTTGTTGAATATTTTTGATTTGACACGAGAGATGCACATCACAAGAAAAAATCTACTGTCACTACATTATCCCTCAAGAAAAACCTTTTCAAACATTTATGATAATGCTACGTTAAATGAAGATTATTCCTGTTAACTCAATATAAATATTTAAATTCCATACAAACTTATTAAGTCATACAACTCTACTTATGACACATCTTCATAATTAAAAAAAAAGTTTTTACCTGTGCGTCACTTTAAAAACTTCTATTAAATATTAACTGTGCCGTATGAGTATTAATTATGGATTAGTTAACTTCAAAATAGTAAATAATAGTCTATACTAAGATACCCTTACAGGAAAAAAGAAAGATCTTTATTTCAAGACATAATATAAAGAATTTATGGCCGATTGTTCTAAACTATTATAATCATGTACATTGCTTTATTGAATAAGATATGAACAACATTAAGTGAATATGAAGTACTTCAAATTCAAAAAAGAATGTTTTTATTTTATTATCGATCATAAAAAACGAAACAACGTGCTTCAAGACTTATTTGTTCAATATTATTCATGGGTACATGATCATTGATAAATCCTGTATGAGCACAAAATTGAGCAACATTTGGATCGCTATCGAACATTTTAAATACCAATAATTCATCCGAACGCATTTCATTTAAATAATACCATTTTTGTGTATTTTGAGCATTGTGTGAGATTGTATAAATCGAATAAGAAATAATAGATCCTCGAAGTTCTGTCAGATGAACATCATTTTTGAGATCTAAAGAACGATAATCGCATAGAGTCAGAGGATTCCTTGTGATAATATTGAATCCAATTGGTCGCCAAATATTAATAAGTTGAAATCGATTGCATGCTAATTTTTTTGCCTCTTCTTCGCCAACAACTTCTTTTAGTTTTAAGTAAACACCAGGTCCATCAAAATCTACATGTGGATGAACAGCAGGACTTTGGTGATTTGTATCATAAAGATCGATAGCACGTGATGGACCTCGATATCGAAATACATGATTAAATACGATTACTCGAGAAGCATCAAGACGTTTCTTAAGTAGTTCTGCAAGTTCTTCATAATAAATTCGTTGTTGTTCATCACCATTATCGAACTCATTGTTTACTTCACCGTTATATTTGTGCACTTCAAAGCCTTGAGTATCAAGATCAAATTTATTCTCTTGACCTCGCATATTATGAATTATAACATCAGTTAATGCTGGTATAAAATTCATGATTGGCTCAGTCAATGTCCTTGTATAACTTGAATCAATCCACGGCGCTGATCCATCAACTGTGTGACCGAAAAAACGAAGTTTTGCACTAATATCGTTGTTATTTGACATTTTGAGTTAATTCTAATTGATAAAAATAAATGTATACAACGCGAGAGGAATGATTCTCTTGCATATTTATATATAACTGCTTTGTACACGATTAGATAGGAGATAAGCATTTACACTAGATTAAAATTATTGTTCACTCTCGCAACACTTGAATATGAGAAAAAATTTCTTATCTGGCCCTCTTATACAATATCTCTAATAACAAGAGTGTGAAATAAACGTGATGAGTATAGTGTGACTTAAACTTCAAGTTTGTTCTTTGTTTTATTATCTATTTGACATCTAATACAGTTTCATTTCGATAGGTAAATCAATTTTTATATTATTTATTATGAATCATTAACAGACGTTATTTAAATTTATACATATATAGATATATATATTTAAAAAAATAAAATCATTAGACATATTAATATGTAATACAATTAAATTGAATTATTAGTTGAAAAAACAAACGAATCAAAAGGGATGACTTGTTCATATAGATTGAAATAAATAGGAAAAAAAAGAGAACAAAATTTGTTCGACTGAAAGAAAGAATCGCATTCTATGTACTGTTCCTCATGCATATACATAAATATCTAAATACATATAAAATCTTAAGTCAATGACTGATTAGGCGATGGACTATCATTATTTAATGAAGGTGGTTCTGTTGCTGTCGTTAATGAACGAAATAAATATCGTCGTCGTTTATCTGTTAATGTTGGTGTATTTTTACTTGAATTAATTGTACTTTCTGATGACATTCGATTTGATTTTGATAAATCACGTGATACGACATGTTCAATTAATAATTTTTCATATTCAACTCCACTATCAGATGCAACTGTTAATGCTAATGATGATGTTCGTTGACGTCTTGTTTCTCCTACTGTATTGTCATTACTATTTGTTGGATCAACATGATCAACTTTTTCTAATTCTTGCGTTAATAAATCAATTTTTTTACCATTTGAATTAAGTGGCGATGGTCCATCATTAGTTAATTGTTTTTTTTCAAAATATGTTGCACGTACAGCAGCTAACCAATGAACACGACGTATACGTAAAATTTGTACATTCTCACTAATACGTAAACTAAAATCAGGAGTAAATGGGCGAAATTTATTCGATTTCGAACGTATAAGATCTTCTAATTTTTCTTCTGGACTCTAAAAAAACAAATCATTTTTTTTCTTTTTAAAATTTTCTATAAATAATTCTCTTACATAAAGTGCACTAGCACCAAAATAATAAAATGAACCAATTTCACTAACAATTTTTTCTTTCCCAGTTTCTAATTCAGCATTACCACTTACAATAAGAACAAAATAATCAACTGGTTTACCATATTCATATATATATGTAATCTTTCCAGCTTTTGCTTCATCTTCATCATATTCATATTCTTTATATAAATCAACATGTAATAAACGACTTAATATATTTGATGAAATATATTTTTCTTTGAATGGTTCAACACCTAAATTTTGGTATTTAATAAAACAAAAGAAAAAAAAATGTTTTACTTGTTGAAAGAAATTGAAAAACAGCGACTTTCATTTGTACTGAAGTTTTGCTTACAATTTCACTTGTATTTTGACGAATGAAAACGGAAAAATCGGGTGCTTGAGAAAGTACATTACGAACTTTACGGCGATTATCGGCTAAATAATAAGAAAATATTTTTTCAAAAAAAGAGTGTGGACGAAGTAGGTCAAAAATTAGTATTTTAGGGCTTCAGTGTGTAAGGTCCAGCTTCTCACTGAAATGTCAGAAAAAAGTCGGGGTTATTTTATTCGATAGAAAAAACATAGAACAATCAACTGGCATTCTCAGAAATAGAAGCGCATTGGAAATTTGAAAAATCGATGGAACCGAATTGCGTAATAATATATTTTGTGTGTTTCGATACCCCTGACATTTCTCTTTCTAATGGTGGAAACCACAGGTTTTTATTTTTCATTTACTTACTGAATACATCTGTTTCATCAACAATTTCTTCTTGTATCATTTCTTCAATAATATCTTCTAATGTAACAATACCAATAGCTTTTTTTCGTGGATCTTTGTCAGTTGTATTATCAATTTCAACAACAACACCTAAATGATATTGTTCTAGAAAAAAAGAAAATTATAAGAATATATTTTTTTTCGATTAGTTTTTCTTTTATATAAACCTTTTTTAAATTGATTAAATACATCATAACTTGAATCATCAGGTGTAATTGATGCACCATAACGATGTTTGCAAAAATTCATTATATTTCTAACAGTAAATTTTCCCGATTCAGTATCAGGTAAAGCAAAATCACGTGCATATATAAGACCTATGATATTATCTCTAGAAAAGATTTTTTTTCAATAAGAATATCATATTTTAATATCAAATAAAATATACTTTTCTCCTTCATACACCGGTATTCTTGAATATCCATAACCATAAACATTTAAAACAAGTTCATCATCAACAATACGATTTGCTTCAAGCATAAAAACATCTTCTAAATTTGTCATTACACCACGAATACATTTTCCTTTTAAACTAAGTACACCTGTCATCATAATTTTTTCACGATCTTCAATATCGGTACTTGTTGTAAGTTTTAATAAAGCACCCATTTGATCTCGTGTATAACGTGCACCAACTTCCTCACCTTAAAATATATAATGAACAAATATTTTAGACAAGTTTCAAAAAATCATTAATGAATAGATTACCTAGGATAATATCAAGTAGTTTACTTAATGGTTTGGCTATTGGGAATGTTAAAAACATAAAGAATTTTGTTAAAAGAATTGTTTGTGAACCAACTTTAAGTCCATGTCGTGAACATATAGCTTGAGGAATAATTTCACCAAAAATAACAATTGCTAATGTTGCACAAGCAACAGCTAATGCACCACTAATTAATGTATCAAGTAAAATTGTTGTTGTTGAATTAACCAAAACATTACCCAATAAAATAGTACATAAAAGAAAATTTCCATGTTTACGTACTGGATAAATTCGTTTGGCATATTTTTTATCATTTGGTGTTCCAGCTTCTTGTATAACTTTTAAATCATGTGGTGTCAATGACATTAAACCAAGATTTAATCCAGAAAAAAGACCAGATAATAATAAAAGACATATTAAAAAAACTACAGTTGTCCAAATAGGTATTGTTCGACGAGTTGTACGAATTTGTAAAAATGATCTATAAAAAATTAATTAAATAAAAAAACAAGAAAAGAAAAGCTTTCAATAAAAATCATACTGATTTCCTTGGTGAAGTACTTCATTAGAATTGGCTGGTGTTAAACATAAATATAATGTTGAATTATAATAAGGTAAATTAAGAGTAACATAAGCACGATCAAATTTATGTTCATGTCTACTAGATTGATTAACTTGTAATTTATACATTTTATTTTTACGTTCCCATTGACATGATTCAGCATGAGTTGTAAATGAAATTTCTGCATCATGTAGCTGTTCACCTGAAAATAGAATATTTTGATAAGATACATAATTAATTGAAATGGAATTTCTATGAATATGGAAAAAAATTTTAAAAGGAAAAAGTTAAATAAATTGTAGTAATTGATAAGTTGATTTTGACATTAATTTATTCTCCAGAGTCGTTTTTTTTATACTCAAAATGATTGGATATAAAACAATGAAATGAATGATACAATCATTTATTTTATTAATACGAAAAATGGTTTTTTTTATAATAAATGACAGCCTATGGAATTTATTATGGTAAAAATTTTTATACATACCAAAAATAACAAATTCTATATCGGTATCTCTTTGTATTTCCCATTCTTGTTCTCCTTTACCATTAAATATATGTTGACCCTTAGACACTGGAAACATATTAAGTAGATAAGGTATTGAGATTTTCGATGGCGTTTGTGATTTATCAATTGTAGGAAATGTTTCTTCTTTACTTGTATTTGTTTTTGCAAGTTGCCGGCGAGGAGATATCTTCTATTGAAATAACAAGAAAATATTGAATAAAAATAATAAAGTTAATTTTACCTTTTGGTTATCATATTGAATAGATAATGTTTCAATGATAATTATCATTGAAAATAGGATAATAATGTAGAAAAAATACATTTTATACAAAAAAAACTATACAAAGATGTTGTAGAAGAGAAAAAAAATAAGGAGTAATCAATTATTATTTATCACACAAACGCAAAAAATAGTTAAATCAATTGACGAATTGAGTTATTGGAAATGAAAAAAGATGAATTAACCTAATTTACACAAAAACAGGAAGGAATAAAACTGAATGCGTAGAGGAAGAATTATTATTACAAAACAAAATAGAATATTAAATAATAGTAGTCATTAAATAAATTCTATTATTTCGTATAGATAAACAATCAGTTATATTAAACTGCCAATAATTCCAATGATTAATTGTTTCGATAAAGAACATGATGACATAAATGTACTTTAAGAACAATAATTCAAAACGACTAGTTAAATATCTAAGATAAATATTCTAAAAAGAGAACATAAGAAAAAGAACAAAAAAAAGTCTAGATGTTGATTACGTAGAAATATAATTTTTTTTCTTATTCTATTAAATTTATCGATATTTTCTCGACTAAAATAAATGTCATATTTCTCCTTGTTTTTTTTCTATTCAACTAATTCTATATGAATGCACCTCGTAAAACTTAACTAGACATCGGAAGGAATTTTTAGAAGAAAATCAATATAAAACACATACCTTTAAATAAACGTATATAGACCAGTTTTTATTGATTTCTTTTTTGTTGTGTATTTAATCAAAAATGATGTATGTTATAGAAAACAAGTTTTTATAAATGAAAAAAACTGTTATTTAAAAAGTTCGTAAACTAACATTAGAAAATAAGAGAAAACACATACATACAAATGACCATAACATAGAGAAATCGTCATGATCAATTACTCATGAAGTTCAATCATGCATTTCAATATCATTAATAGAATTTCATGAAAACATAATATTCAATTAGAATAAATAATTATTGAGAAAAAAATATATATGACATCAGTTTATTCATATAGATTTTTTTATAGAAGAAAACTAGAAAGAAATTTTCTTAATGAATTTAATCGAGCAAAATATTAGCTCTTGTAATAAATGTCATCTTATATCAAATCTTCGCGACTTTATCTACATGTCATATAGCATACAGAATCAATAAATAAAATATTAAATGTCAAATGTCCTTGTCATTTTCATTTTTTTTCTCTTTTAACTAAAAATATTTACCACGGAGAGAAACTAGATAAAAAAAAATAATACGAACATATTCGGTGCCTTAGTCACTAAAAGAACAGCTTGTTTTTATAGGAAAAATACGATAGATGGCAATAGTAATTTATCTAATCGAGGTTATTTTGACAAGATTCATGGCATCTAATACACCAATCATTGAATTTCTCTATTTTGTCTACGTTTTCATATATCATTTTATTATATGTCTTACTCAGTAAAACCGATGTTACGGTTCTTGATTTTGTTTTTAATATGTTTTTCTTATGGAAAAACACAACAAAATTTTGATGTTATCGGTTGTGGTGGTTTTATTAAATCCGAGACTGATATTAATTATAAAGTTGTTCGAGTAAATATTTTTCTTTAATATTAAAAACAATAAATATTCCATCATTAAATTATCATTAGATACAATTAATTACAAAAGATGGCATTCCAATTTATACAACAGAAGCTGCTCCAGTTAATGGATAGTAAGTTGATAAGAAGATTTATATGAAATAATATATTATTTTATTGATTAGTTATATGATTCCTGTGTATGAACGTGGTGAATATATTCTTAAACTTTTACCACCATCCGGTTGGAGTTTTGATCCATCACAAATTGAATTAAATATTGATGGAGAAACAGATCCATGTACACTAAATCATGATCTTAATTTTGCTTTCAGAGGATTTGGATTAGCTGGACGTGTATGTTATTTTTAAATTTTAAAAGAAAAAAACAACCAATTATTTCTATTGATTTTTCTAGGTAATAAGTGCAGGTAATATTGGTGGTGGTGGCGGTGGGCCAGCTGGTGTGACTTTAACATTATATCAAGATAATAAGAAATTAAATGAAACAAAATCGAAAGTCGATGGAACGTAAGAATTATTTTCATATCTATGACTTTTTATTTCTACAAAAGTAGAAAAGTAAACTATCTACCTCAATCAAATTGAGAATAGATAATTTCTAATATTTCTATACGGAAGTTCAGTTAAGCGTAAAGATAAAAAATATAAACAAATTAGTTTATCGATGACTGATTCTATCTTCAATAATATTTTCTTCATAATTGAAAATATGATTTTCATATTAAAATAGATAAGTCATAAACTATTTAGCAAAGTGGTATATTCTCACAATCACAGCTCTAAAAAATGAAAAGGTTATGACCTTTATCATGATATATTTTGAACTCTTCAAGGACAAAGCTTTACATCATGAAAAAATTTAACTTTTTTTTCAACTATTGTTCTATAGATTTGAATTCTTCGATGTTTTACCTGGTCAATATACGGTCAAAGGAAGTCACGATCATTGGAAATTTATAACAGTAAATTGAAAATATAAAAAAAACTAAACTAACTAAAATTAATTGTTTTAGTCAACATCAGATGTTCAATTATCAAAAGAACGTTGGGAAATTGAACAACCAATTGTTGTTCGTGGTTATACAATTAAAGTAAATATTTTTTTTCTTTCCTTTTATCATAAAATCATTGAATATAATTTCTGTTTATTTAATTAAAGGGAAATATTATTCATCAATCATCACCATTGATTTCTATTGATGTATTACTTTTTCGTACTTCATCAGATAATAATCTTCCAACGCCAACATGTTCAAATGATGGGCCATTGACTACCAATGAACTTGCTCTTTTACCACCAACAGTTAATGCACAAAATTTCGTTTGTCGAACACGTACAAATGCAAAAGGAGAATATATATTTGATGATGTACCGGTTGGCCTTTATATTGTAGTATGTATTTTTAAAATTTTCATAATTTTTTGATACTAATTTATTTATTTTCTATAAAGTTACCAATATATTCGACACCAACATTGGAAGTTGTTTTTATACCAGATCAAAAAGCTATAACAATTACACATAAAGATTTTCTTGTTCAAACTCCATTTGAAACAGGAACAATATCATTTCATGGTCGTGTTGTTAAATCAACTAAAGCAGTTTGTTATTTTATTTTATTTATTTATTTTTATTTAATTTCTTTATTTTTCAAGGATAAACTAATTCCGTTACCAAATGCTCAAATATATATTGATGGCAAAGCTTGTTGTCAAACTGATGCAAATGGTTTATTTAAATTAAAACATATTCGTCCAACAGGTTCAATTAAAATAAGAAGTGAATTAGATGGATATAAATTTAAAGAATTAACACATACAGTTAATCTTAATCGTTTAATTGGTATTGGTGATAGTTCAACATCACTTACTCTTTCACCAGAAAAGTAAATATTATTTAAGAGAAGGATGGAAAATAGAAAGAAATAATAAAATAAATATTTAGAGTTCGTGTAACTGGTCGTGTACAATGTTCATCAACACGAAAACAAACAATTCGATATACTGATTCAGAGAAAAAGATAGTTGAAAAATTTGAAGTTGAACCAAATACAGAATATACAATTTATGTTAATCCAGGCGTTTATATATTTTCTGTATGTTAATTTATTTAATTATTTGAATTTTATCTTTAGTTTTGAAAGGATATTTAGATAACTATTTAATAGATTAGTAGAAATATAAGTTTATACATACTTGACAATTGTAATTGTTTGAAAATATTTATCATAATTTCAATTTTTGAGATGAGACTTAACTAAATTGGATCTTCATTATAACGTATTTTATATCTTTAGTTCTATTATGTTGATCTCTCGATGATGAGAGATACATAGATTATAATTTTAGCTTATCTTTCATCACGCTTTAAGAAGCTAGTTTAAGTATTGGATCTATCATTTATATTATACTCATACTGACTTTTTTCTTCCGGTATCTGCCTCAACTATTATTATTATCATTTATCCTTATACTCTTGATTTATGAGAGCAGACAGGAACAGGAATTCTAGGGTATTAATTTCTATAATAGACTACTATCAATATTTACTCACTCCAAATATAGTCTCTATAGTAATTAGCGTAATACATGCGCTCTCAGAGTACTGAAGGAGAAATCCAGGTGAAATACCGCCGTAGTGTTTTACCCATGTGTGAATCGAAATGTCGGATGGGCGCCGCCCACTCAGCCCACCCGCTAGATAAAACACTGAGTACCGCAACATCTGGTTAACAATAAATAAATACGTAAATCAGATCATATTAGAAAAATGATTAGTACAGATTCTATCTTGAAAAGATTAATTAAATTGAAAAAGAAATTTATAATATATTTTTCTAGCCTGAATTATCTGATGCTGAAATTCGTTCAGGAGTACATTTAACGCCAGAAGAAATTGATGTTGATGTTTCACATGGTTCACCAATTGATCAAATAAATTTTTCTCAACTTAAAGCTAAACTTAATGGAATTATTCATTGTATTGGTAATTTAATTTTTTTTAATTTTGTTATGAAAATAATTTTCAACAATAATTTTTTATCTTTAGATGATTGTCAAAATGATTTACCTAAATTAGAATTAACATCACGTTCTGGTGTTATTCATAAAATTGATTATATTCAAAATCCAAGTAAAACAAATGAAATTCATTTTGAACAAGATAATCTTTTACCAGGAAAATATTCAGGTAAATTTTTGTTTTAATTTAATTTAATTCCAATGAAATTTCTTTAGTTTCATTAATAAAATCAAAACAAAATGATAAATATTGTTGGAAAGAATCTCAACTTGAAGTTGATTTATCAAATTCAAATAAGACAATTAAATTCGAACAAATTGGTTTTAAACTTCGTATTCATCTTCAAACATCAAATAAAGTTCTTTTAGTAAGTTTTTCGCTTCTTTCTTTTTTTTCTCGAAGTTTATTTTTCTTTTTTTTTTAGAAAATTAATCAAATAAAAGAAAATACTTTTACTAATTCAATGGATTTAATATCAGGATTAAATGAAATATGTTTACCTAATCACGGTTCATATGAATTAATTCCATCGAGCTGTATGAAATTTGAAAATGAAAAATATTTTTATGATACATCAAAATCTTCATCATTAACACCAATTGAATTAATTCCAATTAAATATCAAGTATTTGTTCATATTCAAACAGAAAATGATGATCAAAGTACAGAAAAATTTCCAGTTTTAATAAGGTAATATTAATTTTTTAATCTATATCTAGTTAATTATAGATAACAATAACGAGAGAAGTTTCCCAGATATATAAGCTGTTTAGACTCTATCTTTTGGCCACTAGTAGGCCTTAATGAGGTATGACTATTTTACTGGATTTTCGGTTGAGTGACACGGTGTTTTATGAACCATCAAATGAATGAATTTCGCCCATAAATAGGCCTAATAATGCCTAGAATATTCCTAAAGTTTCAAACAAAATGAATGCTTTCTTCGCGAGATATTTGAGGGGAAAGTGCGGGTCAGATGTCGCTAACTTTTGGGCGGTCCGATGCCCACACTTTCCCCCTTGTATTTTGTTCAGACATCGATTAATTTATAGCTATTCATCCAATGCGCACAATAATTCGATAAAAATCATTCAGAATTAATTTATAAATAATAATTTTCTATTTTTACATTTAGAAATTTAAAACAAAATGATGAATTTACAGTTGATTTACAAAAAGATAAAACAAAATGGACAGGCTCATTTTGGGCAAAGTAATAAATTCATAATTTAATTTCATTTATCAAAAACGAAATGTTTTTCATTTTTATATAGACATGGTGAACAATATGGAATCTTTCCACGATCTGAAATATGGTTATTTGAACCTGAACAAAACACAATAACTATTTCTTCTGATAATTGTCAATCTAATCAAGTTAAATTTGTTGCTCGACGTGGTCTTTTCATAAATGGTTCAACATATCCACCTGTTGTTGATGCAAATGTTTCATTATATATTGCATCGACTGATAATCAAGATGAAAAATCAATTGATATTGATGGTCAATCAATGAATCTTCTTTTATCATCTTGGACAAAATCTGATGGAACTTATACATTTGGTCCATTATCAAATACTCGTTCATATCATGTTGTTATTAAAAAAGCAGGCCATGTATTTACTCGTAAATCTGCATCATCATTATATGATTTTAATTCAGAAAAATTAGCTTCAATTCTTGTACAAATCAAAGATATTGATGGTGTTTTTCTTTTATTATCATCACAAACAAATAATATGCGTCGACGTACAGCAACAACTGATAGTACTGGCGAAGTTTTATTTGAAGATTTACAACCTGGAACATATTATATCCGTCCACAATTACGTGAATATAAATTTCAACCTGAAGATGCTCAAATTGAATTAAAATCTGGTGATGAAGTTATAACTAAATTTCAATTTGAACGAATTGCATTTAGTTGTTATGGACAAATAACATCATTAAATAATGAACCAGAATCAGGTTTAATTATTGATGCTATTGGTATTGAACAATGTGAAAGTGTTACAAGAGAGTCAGCTAAAACTGATATCAATGGACAATTTCGTTTACGTGCACTTCAACCTGGTTGTCGTTATCGTCTTCAATATCGTTCAAATCCAACTGAATCAACACAAACAGATATTATACAAATTGAACCAAAAAATAAAATTATTGAAGTTATTGATTCAGATTTATATCATATTCATTTATATACAATTAAACGACCATCAGATGCTGATATTAATGTTTTTATACAAACACAAACACAATTTCTTAATCAACTTAAAGTAAAACTTTTTTTAAAAAAAAGCAAAAAAAAATTCTTTTATCATATTTTCTAGGTTAAGTTATATAAAACATCACAACGTGAAAGTCCTATACAAACAGTCACATTAACAAATTCACCATTTGCATATTTTAATTCAATACCACTTGATAATGAAGTACGAATATTTAATCTACTTAGGAGAACATAGTATTATCCATACTATATTATCTTATAGATTTTCTTGAACTTTTTATAAGATAATATAGTATTGATATGTCTTATTTAAATAATTCAATTCTAAAAAATTTTATTTTTTAGAATTATATTCTCCGTGTTGATTCACCATTATCAACAAGTGTTTATAATTATATTCAACCTGAAATATCTTTTACAGCGAATCAAACATTTTTATTTTTTACATTTAATTATCAACCACGTGTAAGATATATGGTCTATTCAATTTCTCTTTATTAATTTCTTTCGATTTTAGTTGAAAATTTATGACGGTGAAACAGGTCTTACCGGTTCTTATTCCGCATTTATCATTGCTTTACTTATTATTGCATTGATATTTAAATATGAAACAGTAAGTTTTCATATATATATTTTTAATTTTATTGAAAAATTCATTTTGTTATTTAAGATACTTCCATTTGCAAAATCATCTTATGGATATGTTCGTGAAATTTTCTTACCTAGTTTAATTAAAAAATCATCATCGGCTTTGTCATCTTCACAAACAAATGATCAAAATGTTAAAACATCTTCATCATTTAATACAATCAATACAAAAACATCAACAACAAATCTAAATAATGATAATATTGGTTTAACGAGCGATTCAAAACGACGTGCAAGAGTTGCTGATTAGGAAATATTTGTTTATCTTGTTTGTTTTAATAGAAACAAGATTAAATACTCATTTTTGTCGAGTGATCGTTCGTTTTCGTTTTCGTTTTTCTTATGTCTAGTTATCTAGAGTCATATTGTTTGTTGTCTTTTTTTCATTTTCTTTAATACAAGTAAAACTAACCGCTTTCGTTATGCAATATTATTTTCATACATCTTCATAATAATCATTTCAAAGAAAATCAATTTTTCACTTTACTAAAAGAAGATTATAGCACTGACCGAATTAGTCTTGTATTCATTCTCAATAAGATGGCACAAGACAAACTTGAAGAAACTATTCGTGTATCATTGAAAAATACAAAGAAATCTCCTGATATTCATTATTTGATTGAACACTCATACTGATTCATCGAATGAAAATTATCAAAGCTTGCTCGTGTATTCAAATAACTGGATGAATATATTGATTTTTATCACTGAATTTAATTATCATAAGGTTTTCCTAATTATAGATGACCTTCTCAGTCAGCAGTTAATACCACTTATTCATGATATTTCTTTAATTGATAGTATTTATATCCCACCCACACACAACAGAGTATTTAGTTGTTACACTGTATTTCGATCCTTTGATTTCTCTATTTCTTATTATGTCTTGTGTAAGTGAACAGATAAAATATTTATTCGCTATATCAATCATATATATCATTGTGTGATATTTCCTCTTTTCCCTCGTATATGTCAGTATGGAATTTTCCCTCTTTCGACCTCGATTAATCTTTGTATTTCTTCTCTTCTTTGTTTTTAATATTCGCATATAAACATCGTTTTTATAAGAGTAAAGAATATAGTTAGTGTTGGACACCAACAGAAATCCTAACATTAGTTTATTTCAAATATATATTTAATTATTCTATATTACATTTTCAAATATATCTGATCTCAAAAAATCAAAATCCATGGAGCAATCTGCATGTCTCATGAAAGAATCAACTACAATTTTCGAAATATGTAACTCTTGGTTTCATAATTCGTATGTGCATCGTACAAATAATGAACCTACAATAAAAAGTACACTGTCGTATATCATGCAACTTTTTTTGGTTGCAGTTATCGTAATTATGATAAATTACTTTTGTCCATACCTAATTGAATCATTATTAAATGTTGTTTTTTATTCGTATGGTACGCCAGTTATTATGATTGTGTTTGCCTTAATTATGATAGAACGTTATTGTCCAAAATTACTTAATTTAACAACATTTCTTTTAAGACAATCTTCCGAGAGAATGGACTTAAATGATATCAAGCATCGCTAAAGAGTGAATAGCACTAACAATGTTGTTCGATTTGTAACAGAACATTATTTAACTTATTTTCTTTGTGTATTATGACCTTTTTCTTCTCTCTTGTACATTTAATACATACTTTTAAAAAAATGAAATGTCTTTTTTAATCAAAATTAATGCAGTAAAAGTAGAAAAATGTATTTTTACTTGTATTTTAATCTCTACAATGTCCTATGTCATCTACGAGACGATATGTAAAACGAAAAAGAAATAGTTCGAGTTCTTTCGTTTTCTTAGACGACGTATATCACATAATATATTTTTAGGAAAATCACTTCGTATGACTATGAACATATAATGGATGTAGATTTCGAATATATAATGGGCGTGTTTCACGAGAAAACTATCTTGACAATGGCTGAATGTATCGAGTTAGCTTCTGGTTCCTAAGGGTTTCTCAATATGGTGATTCTTTTTGTCTCTAGAAAGCTTTCTTAAAATACCTTCTAACTATGGTTTCTTAGCAGAACCTAATGGAAAAAATGATTCTTTATAAAATACTAAGTGTTCAATAAATAATCCAATATGATATTCGGATTCAGCATGAAAAGGCGAATATTTGAACAAGAAAATTAGCTTCCTAGTACAAAGTGTAGATTTGCAAATCGATTTTGAAATTTTGAAAACCTCATTTCTTTTACTTTGGAATAACTCAACATAGGAATGTGGTATAAAACTGATTCAAATACCAATTTATAAAGAATTAAAAACTGAACAAACTTAGGGGTTCGACAATATTCATATGTTATGCAGTCATGGGTTTTTAGGAAGCTTCTAGAAAATCACATGCCTGTTTTTGTTTATTCTTTTGATTTTTTTTAGCTTTAATGTGTTTGATTGGATTATTTATAGTCTCTATAATGAAAATACAACTTTGCTATGATTGCTGATTGTTTAAAATGCTTTATGATTAATCTGAATTTAGTTTGATTCTTTTTGCGTGTAACTAAAGGCACGTGGCAACATTCCTTTTCTTTTTTTCTTTTTTCTTCTTTATATTATTCAGCCTTAATTTATAATAACATGACTATCTTTTTCTGATTTTTATTATGCCTGCTACTTGTATCGTTGTTGGTTGTGGAAAGAAATACGGTGATGTTGGTCAAGGTCGACGTAAAGTTGCACTTTTTCACCTTCCAACTAATCTTACAATACTAAAAAAATGGTGTGATATTTTGTCGATCAACTGTAATAATCTCAGCGTGGCAAAAACAGAACGTGTCTGTAGTCAACACTTCTTCAAGCAAGATCTCACTTATTCAGAACGAAGAACCATATTAGCTAAAGGTGCGATACCAATCCATACGAGTACACCAGGTATATTAAATTTTATAAAAGACTTATAATAAATAATTTGAATATTTTTGACATAGGCGAGTCTGTTCGAGTATCATGTTTACGTTCACGTGATAACTGAACGCAAGAAAATATCAAGATTAAAAAGTTTAATATAATGTAACATTTTCGACTTATTGTCTGTTGATATCAACTTATAAATTCAACCATCTTTTGTATTTGACAAACGAAATAATAAAGATAATAACTAATAATCCAAGCATAAAACATGGCATCGTTAATATAAACATTATAAACTGAGGGTGAGTGTGGGTACGACTACTCTATTTCATCCACATTCTCATTAATCTAACTCTATAATAATAAAATGATTTATATTATAAATATTAGGGGATCCAGAAGATGATTTTGTATTTCCCAAATATTTTCTTTTTTGTTGATTCATCTTATACGAAATAATGAATATACTGATGTTTCCACGCGTAATCTTTTCTCTAAAAGAAAATAAGTTTCAAAATATCAAATTCTGCAGCATGAAACTGTTTATTAGCTGATATATAGTTTATAATTCACAACAAACAGACAGACATTGCTACAACCAAAACAAAAAAGAACTAAAAAAGATAAACATAACAATTAGACTTCAGAAGCTAATCTTGATGTATTCAAATCATGATTTGATGACATCATTTCTAATAATTGTTTTGTCTCTTGTCCATATGATGACATCAATGTTCGACATGTTCTTTCATTTTCAATATTTGATTCTATTCTTTCATTTCGTTCAATTGATGATGTACATGATAACGACATTGGTATATTAGGTGATATATTCATAGATGGAATTACTTCTTGTTCAATTAATCCATCTATATTATATACATATGGTTCTAGAAAAGTCGATAAATAAATAAATAGATATACAATAAAATAAAGAAAACTTACTACGTTTTATTGATTGAATTGAAGGTGATTGAGATTCTCGAATAACAATTGAATGTATTCTTTGCTAAAGAAATAAATTATTTATTTTTATATTCTGATATATCAAAAGAATACGACATTTACCGCCTTTATTTTTTTACTAGGGCGTTTCTCTAGAATAAATTCTTTTAGCATAGATATATGTAGAAATATTGTCACTTTGAGCTAATACTTAATTAAAATGAATTAATTAATAAGTAATTAGCGAATATCAGTCGACCTATATGAAGAAAATTTTAGACCCAAGTCACATCTATGATAAAATTTTCATCATAAAAACGGCACTCTTAGGGATCTTATTAAGTCGCAAAACAAAAATATCTGTCTTATTATTGTCTCAAACATCCAAGAAAGGATTTGTACCTTTTCGATTTCTTCTCATACTTCTCATTTAATTATAAGATCAATTTTTCTTTAGTATATTCTTACTCTATCACGTCGCTTTGAATTGTCTATAGACTGTATTATTTAGATTCCAAAAATGTTGTTCTTAATTTTTTAAAGTAAAACCGCCAACTCCTAATGATAACTTCTCTCAACAAACATCTTCAAAGATGATTCCTTTACAACATCCAGAGATGTGTGAGACCAGGTTTTTCTGGTTCCGGACTAACTCCGGTACCTCATTTTTTATCAGTCCCGATCATAGCCATCTAGAATCTAATATGTTCTTGGCTCTAGGTACGGAGATCCGGTCACGCACATCTTTACGTTGCTAACAAACGGTTTTGCTCATATAATTAAATATTTTCTAAATTCAACTTACAGTCATTTTTGTAGTTGAGAGACGTTGAGCATTTCTTAAACCATATTTTTTTCCATAAAATAAATAATTTTTTATCTTTAAACACAAATTAATTCCTTTCAATCGACAAATAATGATAAATAATATTATTGTTCCAATAATAAATATGAATGAAAATATAAATATCATTATTTCAATTGGTCTTAATGTTAAAAAAAGATTTATAAGTGAATTTTTTCTCAATAAAAAATTTTTATTCATTGTTATATTATAACAAATATTATTTATTAATGAACATAATTCATAATCAATTAAATTATCTGCATAAAAATCATTTTCATTATCATCAACAGATATCATTTGACATTGATTTATAATTATAAATTGACTTTGATTTGCTGATGAATAAATAAAATTTGAAAAATTCGAAACATTTAAATTTGTTTGAAAAACTTTTAATTTTCTTGTTGAATTATTTGAATGAAGAAAATAAATAAAATTTTCTTCACAAATATTCAACGATTGATTAAAACCAATTGAAGACAAGGATGGATTAATAAAAACTAATTGAATGACTAAATCCGGTAAGAAATCATCTGTTAATTCATATTTAATTTTAATATTTAATAAATAATTCAATTCTTCTAAAGATGAGTTGTGAATAATTAAAGTAAAATGATTTAATGAAATAAATTCTAATGAAAATATTGTTTGATAATTTTGTAAATAAAGAATATATTTATCAGATAAATAAAATGAATTTTCAATTGATATATGAAATAAAATTTGTTTATTGAATAAAGAATTTTTTTCGATAGAAAATATATTTTGTGATTTGGAAATAATTGATAAAGATTTTGATTGATTAAAATAATTTAATGAGATATTATTGATTTGATTTATTAAACGAAAGTAAATTTCAACATTTGTTAAAGATTTTAAATGAGAATACTTTTCTAATTGATAAAATGATTCAACAAGTAAATTTATTTCATTTATATTATTTAATAAAATATTTTCATTTAATAAAATTAATTCACCTGTTAAAGAATTGATTTCGATATCATTTGTTTGATTTAGAATTTTATAAAATATTAATTGATTTTTATCATTTGATTTAGCGTTTATTATTCCTAATTTTTGTCCCTTTTCTAATGATAATGAAGAAGTTTTTATTAGAAATTCGTATTTTAATTTGGTAAATTTTGGTTTATCAATTTGTTTTTTATCAATTTTAATATTTATTCTCATTGAATTATTTAATTGTATATCCCTACCAGAATCAAATGCATTTAATATTAATTTATATTCAGATTTTAAATCTTCATTTTCCAATATTAATGATGTTGAATTAAATTTTATTGCTAATTGATCATATTGATTTAATAATCTTGATTGGGAAAGAATTTTTAATTCAAATAATGGAAAACAATTTTCTCGTCTATTTACTAATGATAAACATTCGAGTTTATAATAAATTTGTCCATTTAAACCTTCATCAATATCTAATGCACCTTCAAAGGGGATTTGATAACCATTCGGAATATTTTCATTAAATTTTAATTCAATTAACGAATTTCGAAATTGTGGTTTATTATCATTTTCACTTTAATAAAAAAAGATAAGTTTTAAATTAAAATTAAAAGAAAAAGAAAAAGAAATTTACTCGACAATATGGATTGGTATAACCCAATATTGTTGACCATCATTAACAAGAATATGAAGTTCAATCAAACAATATGATCGATCAAAACATTTCTTTGAATTTAAAAAGTCTTCACGATCAATTTCATTGATTGTATAAAGATTTTGATTTTTAATTTCAAAATAATTTCTTTCAAATCCACTTAAATTCAAAAGAATTAATTTCATTTCATTTTTATTATTTAGTTCATTGAATTCATAGATTTTTGTATTGATTTTCACATTTTCTTTTACATTTATTGTTGAATAAGTTTTTATTGATGTTGTTGACATTATCTCTTTTGTTATATAATATAAGAGATAAATATTAAATAATAATTTCATTGTTTCTTCTTTAAATATAATAAATACACACCAATAATAATAGTAATAATGAAGCTATTCTAATCTGTGAACACAATTGTCTTCTTCTTCTTCATCAATATTTCACAAAAAAAAGAATACATACACAATCACAAAACTGTTCATTAACACTTTCTCTTTTTCTCTCCTTTTCTCTCTCCCTCTCTCTTCCTTATTCAAACAGAAACACACAAATGAATAAAGAGAATGGCTACTTTTCCCTTTTCCTTTTCTTTTCTTCTCTTATTAGAACATCAATTCACCATTTTCATATCAATTTCATACCAAAAAAAAACAAAACGAATCAATTGAAAGCTAGTTTTTCAGATAGTGTGTTATTATATCAAAATTCATATGAAATCTTTCATCACTTTTCAAAATAATGAGTCAATATTGATAATAATAAAAAAGATTTAGAGTAATTAACTCATTTATACTCGATCTCTTTCTCTCACTCTTTCATTCTTTATCTAAACATAAAATGACACTGTTTGTCTACACGGAAAAGCACGCACACTTTTCGATCCATCTTACGTCTGTCGTCGCCCAACAACTATTTAACTTATATTCTGGAATTAACGTCATTCTTCTTCTTCTTCTTCTTCTTCTTATTGATGGAAATATTTCAAAGATCAAAGTAGATGCGATCTATTACAAGTCATCATCTATTAACAACATTTTAATTATTGATCGTGAATTTGTCTTTTTCTTTTTCTTTTTGCAAATGAGATTTTTATTGATAAAAATGATGATGATGAGAGAAGTGTGTGTGTATTGTGCAGTTTTGTCATAGTTGAGTGAAAAATCAAAAGAATAGAAAAAAAACAAACGGAAGTTTGACGATGAATGTGAAGAGTGAAGAATCACCGGCGTCTCTCTCTCTTTTCTTGTCTCGAATTAACAACATTTTGTATAACTGAAGATGAAAGATGAAAGAAGAATATGGAACTTGTGTCTTTATATTATTTTATTGATTATGAACAAAATCAATGTAAAACGTGTGTGTGTGTGTGTTTGGTTTGTATGGAAATAAATGATTTGAACAGATGATGATGATAAGTTGTAAAGATGTTGATTATCAGTAGATGCGATGAAGCGCAGCTAACTATTTGTTTTGCTACTTTTCTTCTTTTGTTAGAAGAGAAAATACAATAGCAGAAAGGTTATTTAACCGATACCGCTGATATTATTTTATCCTTTTAATGATTGTTCAGTAAGCGGATATATCCTTGAGGGATATGTCGATTTCCAATTCGATTGAAAAAAATGGACGAAACATAGATTATCACGAACAGGTGAGAAATATATAATTAGAAAGATCCGGTCCTTCAGTTAACATTGTGCAGGGGTAACACCGATAAAAAAAAGGAAGGTAATCAATGAGACATAAAAAAGCGTGCCTACAATAACGAACACAGGAAATCGACAGTCGAGTGTGATGATAACTTTGTACTGCGAATATTCTGTTCTTGCTTTGAACACATTTAACAAACAATACAATGAACGTTCGCTCGTGTATAAATGATGGAGTGCGAGAAAATGGGCAGGTGTCACATTTTTAGAAGGTGAAAAAACATAAAAGGATCAATCTATACATATATTGTCAATATTCATTGTAATCTATCAATGCAGAAAATCAATATTTTGTAAATTTATAATAATATTAAGAAAAACTTTAAAAGCTTTTAATCTTCTATAACATCAACAGATAGCATGTTTGATGCAACCAAAATTAGATACTTTTTTTTACATCTGTATGGAATTATTCTATATTTTAAAATAAATGTCTTCTAAATATTACGTCTGAAAATTGATTACTTATAAGTTCATCTTGAAATGTTTCTTTTCTTTCTATTTGTCAATCAGTTATTCATATATTGTTGTTTTGTGAACAGTAGGTGATGTCGTAATTTTGAATTGTCATCACTTAAATGACTCTTATATTGACTAGTGTTCTCAGCATGATATTTCTAATTCATTTATATACTGACAACCTTGCTCAAATTATCCTCTTTTCATTGCTGATCAGACACTGTATCAATTTCCTACTGTGCAAAATGCTTGACAATTCAATTGGTAGAAATAAACTTTTTTCTTCTTCTTATAAGTTAGTTTTTTCAAATATTGAATAGACATTTTGGAAATAAAACGTTGGCATGGCTAGGGATATAGCATAATTTCTATTCGAGACGATATGCAGTTAAATTATTTAAAGAATTGCTTGTTATTTTAAAGCATTAATGTCTCTATTATTGTGTGTCTCTTATCTGTGCCCTATCGAGAATAATCAGATTAACATGAAGTATACTAATTCTCTACATAAACAATGATATTATAGTACAACGAAATATAGATTTTTTTTCGACGATAAAATCATGCAATAATGAATATGAATGAGCATATAAAAACGTAATTAAATGTTCCAGAATAATGATAGCTATTGATATTTCCTTTCTTATAGACATTTTCAATCTCTTCATTGTAGTTTATTTTTCTCAGCTATTGACATTAATATTATAAAAAAACAAAACTTTCTTGCAAAAAATTGAGAGAATCAGAGTTCTCGGGACTTTTGATTTATCTCGTTAAAAGTTAATTCATGAAAGTATATTATTTGAACATTCTCAGTAATTATTAAATCAAAAAAAAAATATTTGTAATAAAATTGATGCTAAGAACAGATAAGTGTTAATAATTTGAATAATTATATGGCAAAAGCGTTTTCTTTTTAATGCAAATTTTTGAATTTAAAGCAAAAAATAAAATGATTAAGAAAAAAAAACATTCTACTGATGAATTTTTAAGCTCCCTGAATGCAACAAGAAAAAGAAACTTATGTTGAGATAAAAGATTGTTGATGTCATTTTATATTACTAATGTAATAATATTTTATCTAAATGCACTCATTGATGTACTTGCACGTTGACTACTTGTTGATGTATGTGGTTGATGTTGAATTTGATGAACAAGGTGTTGTACAACACCATTAGTTGCTTCTCCACGACCGACTACAGCACCTGTCTTATCTAATGGAATCTGTTGAGCAGCAAGAGCAGCTGCTGCTTGTTGTTGTTGTTGCTGCATTTGAGTTCTCAAATCGTATCGATGACGAGCAAAACCACCAGCTATATGACCTAAAAATATTGTATACATATACGAAGTCTATTCTAATATGTGAAAATTAATGATAATATACCTTGTGATGCACTCGGTTGTAATGAAAATTGTTCAGGACCACTTACACTATGACCTGTTGTTTGATAAACAGCATCCATACCTGGAGCATATGTTGCATCCATCTATATTGAAGTAAACTTTCTTTTAAAAAAAATGTTTTTAAAGAGTAAACATACTTCTTTATTATATTGTACATGATCCTCAACATAACTTTGATAATCATCATAATTTCCAACTTTTGCTAATGGTGTTCCAACAAATGGTTTTGTTGATCGAAGAGTTTTCATCTATAATAACTCGAAAAATAAATCAAATTCAATATTTAACAAATTTTATTCTACTAAATAAGTAGCAATCATTGCTCCTAATGCAAATCCAAATGCAACATCTTCCCAATGATTTTTATTACTAGCTAATCGAACACCACCAGCTACAATTGATAATGTAATTATTGATAAAATAAGAAATGGTTTAACAATTCGAACACGTTCAATACGTATTCCATGATGAAGATAAATCTATTTATTTAATATACAAAAACTAAATATAAAAAGAAACAAAATATTATTAACATACTGCAAGAAATATTGCACTATACATTGACAATGAAGCATGTAATGATGGAAAAGAAAGTCTTAATAGACAAGTAAGGTTAATTATTAAAATATAAATTATTTATTTTCATATACCTAGCATCTCGTAATAATCCAGTCATATTCCTTGAAAGACATACAAATTCAGCATCAGTTAAACCTTTAAAAATATGAATGATACTTAAACAAACAATTATTATTTAAACATACCCATCCCATTACATGATACTTGATCTGGATTACATAAAGTTAAAAAGTAAGGTCTTAAACGACCTGACATAATTTTTAAAATATCTGTAAGAACAGTAGTTGCTAATGCACCAAAGATAAATACAGCTAGAAAGAAAAGTTTTCTATTAATTAACTCAGAAAATAAATAAATTTACAAGTATATTTGAGAATACGAGCTAATGCTCGAATAAGACATTCTTTAAATCGAATAGCAAAACGAGCTCGATAAGAATTATATGTTATAAATGAACGTATAAGTTCAATTATTGAAATCTACAAAAGAATATAGAATATATAGGAAAAGATTTATTATATATATTTCTTCATACTGTAAGAATTGGAACAGCTAAACATAAAATATATAGAGTAAGATTCGAAAGTATTATATAATTTCGTTCTGTATTAGCATCTTCATATGATTGATAATAACGAGCATCATCACATAAAAAACGTTGTTGTCGAACAGGAAATATATCTGATGCTCTAGAAATTTAATTTAATTATTTATTATTTAATATATATATATATATTTCTATCTACCGTAGAAGAAATGCTATAACAATAGCAAATACAAGTACAATGCTATCAAGAACAGCTGTAGCTAATGCATATCGACCACCATGTCGAACATATTCAGCTGTTCCTTCAGTATAAGGTCCACTTCTATAATAGATAAAAGAAGAAGTATAAGAATTATTATTAATTAATAGATATACATGCGAGATCGTGCATCCATTTTTGTTATTTAATTTATTATAATCATTTCTTACTAAGTAAAAAAGAAAGAAATAAGAGATGATTAGAGTTGATAAAAGAAAAAGAAATCAAGTAACTCACTTCTCAAATTTTTCTCTTTTGTCGTGTTATTCAAATATACAATAAGAGAATGATGATGGCCGTGAAATATTCGCATATATGTAAACATTCGATCAATACGATTTTCTCTAGCATACACACGTACAAACATGACTAGAATTTAGTATTTATGATCAAATGATGATAGAGAGAGAGTGTGTGAGAGAAAGAGACGAACGAGATTGTTTAACATCATCGATTCGAATGATGAAGTGAAAGTTAAGACATTAACAAATACTAACCATCCGATAAAAAGAAAAGTGGAGAAACATTCTTTCCCTCTTTTCTTTTATCTCTCAAATAGATACATTGACCACGATAAAAAGAATTTGGTTTATTATCGTTGTGTAATTCATAGGAAAGTCAAAGATGATCATTAATTCTTATCCGTTATTTTATTATAAATCAAGGTGGGCATGCATACATATATAGATATAAAAAAATCGATAAAGTAGTTTAGTTTTATTCAATCAATTGACATTGAAATATAAAAGCAGGTTTTATCCATTGATGACAATGACAACGTAGACCTTTAAGTGAATATTCACCTAAACTAATTTTACAATTTGGACAATTTATTGTACCATGAGGATTAGTAAAAATTTCATCAATCCAATCAAGAAAAAATGTAAAAATTTGAGTTTGATCATTACAAGGAATACCTAATTCCTTTTCATGTTTTTGTATATCATTATTAGCAAATAATTTTATATGACAATTTCGACATTTATATTCTTTTTCATTCTCATCTGTTAATATTAAAATCGATGCATCATTATCTGTTGATGATTTTAAATCAAATCGATTCTTTTGAAATTCTTTATAAAATTCATTTTCTATATCAACTTTATAATTCATTTGATGAAATAAATCAAGTTGCCGTAAGAAACTATCATTTGGTAGTACAGACCAATAACGTCTTTTATTAATTAATTTTTCTATTGCTTGTTCACGTGTTAAAGAATATTTACGCATTAAATACATAGCAGCTATTGTTGCCGAACGTGATACACCTGCATGACAATGAATTAAGACTTGATGACCTTGTTCAATTGCTTTATCAATAAATTGAAAACATTTTTCAAATTCAGATGTTAATAAATCAGTTGATTGAAAATCTTCAGCATGAATAAATAAATATGTACGATTTTTATCAATATTTCTAGGTTCATAGTCAAGTATTGTTAAAATATGTGAAATTTTATTATCATCAAGAGCTTGAATATTTTCTGCTGAAGTTATATCACCTAACCAAACACCACTATCATCGATTTTATCAGCTGTAAACATTATCTACATATTAGTTTAGAAAAATATAAAATCTAAATATTTTTAAACAAATTCTTTTATAAAATATAATTCAAAACGATATATTTAAATTATCATCATAGAAAAAGATCACATAGATCATATAAAAAAATATTTTTTCATGCTATAAAATAGAATTTATTTGATAATTTAATGAATATATTTTCAATATATTGTGAACTTTTTCATACAATTCCTTTAGCTGCTAATTCTTGTCGAACTCTAGAATAATAAAAAAAGAAAGAATTAATTTTTTTGACAATATAATTCACATACCTATTAAGATACGTATCATCCGGATAACCAAAACTATAAAAAAAATGGTAAAAGATATTCATGAAATCAATATTATTCATTACAAGCCAGAGATCGGCGGGACAATTATACATGGCTACACATTTATATGAAGGTATCAGTATTCTGTCTTTTCTCAATCACTAATCAAAATCGAATCAACTCATTTTACAGGTGCTGCTTCAGACTTATTTTTGGTGCTTGTACTATATCAACAATTGATCGTCATCAGGTATTGAAACTATCAACTCCATCAGAAATTTTGTAGAATTTCTACTATTTTACATCTACACAAGCATCTTATTGATTATCTCTTATCACTTGTAACGCCATTCTTCTCTATCTACTTGATCACTCTTGATATTTTATATTTTCGTACAATTTATCTAACTGAGCTGTCAGCAACTATGAGGTAGATTGTCTTTCTTCAATAAACTCTAGATTATAATCCCATAATGCCGCTGATCTCTGTTACAAACTTACTTTTCTGTTCCACCATTATAACTTGTTTTATGATGAATGTCATTCCATGTAACAACATTATCACATCCTGTTGTTCGAGATTGACCAACAGTAAAAACTTGACGAAATTCAAAAGCTTTTTGAAGTAATTCTAATATCTCTCGACCCTCTTTATTATCAGGCAAATAAGCATCACGACTTGTTCCATGATATCGTGCGCCTGGACTTGGATGTCTTTCCTAAAGAAAAAAAAGAATATATATAATTTTCTCATTGATTTCATCTCATTAATATAAACTCACATCTTGAATACCATTAGGAAAGTAATAACTTATACGAATAGTGCCATTGGAATTTTTTTCATAGCCTGGCAAACGATGTTTAGTTACAATATATTTCATTGTACCATTTTCTGGTTGATTTCCTATATTTTAAATATTTATATTAGAGAAAACAAAAAACATAGAAAAATAACTATACCTCGAATATTACCATAAATAGTAAAACAACATGGACATTGAGGTTTAACTGCCTTAAAATATTGATCAATACAAGCTGTACAAAATGTATGATCACATTTATCAAGTTGTTTAGGTTCAATACAATCATCCATACAAATAGCACATCTGTCTAGTTCTAAATTGTACAAAACAAGATACGAATATAGTTCATTTGTTTTGTTTTATAAACCTGTTTTTTCTTCTGATCCACTGACTTTTAATTCCTTCGATGTATTCTGTTGTTCTTCTTCATTCGATAAACCCAATTCTGTGTTCTGAGACTGAGACTCTGTAGAGACTAATTGAGTAGATGATGTTTCAGAAACAATTTCGTCTGTGTTCGAGTTAGGTGGTAACTAACAATACTAATCAACGTCATTAGTTTTATTTACAATTCTAAAATCTACCGTAAGGTTTTCGAATTTTGAATAAACGATAGACGTTTCTACTGATTCGTCTGGTGTCGGATTTTTATCAACTTCTGTACCTCCAGAGTCCGATTCTGACTGACCTTGTGTTAAACCTGTTGCCCCTGGTGCTGGTCTTTGTGCATCATTTCTTTGACGATGTTTTGATCCATGACGATCTGACATATTTATGGCAGTTACGTCTGAAGAAAGAAATAGACTCTGATTATTAATATAACTCGAAAGAACTTCATAACAAATATATCCTTTTGAATCAAATTTTATTTTGAAAAATATCTATTTAATAATTTACCCCGTTTTGATTATTTTTTGAAAACAACAAAAAAATACATAAATAATTATTTTTCATATTATGTATGATATTTATTACATGGAATCATAATTATAAAAGTAAAATTCCACGGCAAAAAAAGTTAATGAATAAATTATTTGCTGATTATTTCGTCATTTCAAGCATTAGTCAAGAAAGCCTTATAAGCGCATAAAATTCTTCGAAAAATTATACCAATGACTCATGCAAAATTTCTATTGGTTAATCGTTTTAACTAAATAAATCCATTAATATTCAAAAAATAAAAATTTTTCAGTAGAAGTTAACATTGAATGATAATACAATGTAAAAAATCAAAAATTTCAAAATAAAAAAAATGATAATTATCTTTCAAATATTTGATTTGCTTGTTTATTTTCAGTGACTCATTCAATATTCGCCGCCCTGGTTTATTATATATGTTTATTTATTCTTATCCATATAGATTGACATCGTTCAGAATCGCATGAATGATTCTTTTTATTTGTTCTCGATACGACCGAAGTTAAACTAGAAGAATTTATATGATTATAAAGATGTTAATAAAACATTTATTTGAATATGCAAATTATTCTAATATTGAAATGAAAACAGCTATGTTTTTCTTTTTAGCTTATAGATTGACAAAAGCTTTCTGTGATTGAAATAATTATTTATTGTTAAATATGGGTAAATCAAAAAAGTTCTCATAAAATATTCTATATTTATTATTTTATTTAGCTGCATCAAATTCTACCTCATTTCTACTATCATTTCTCATTAGTTTATTATTATTTGCGTCAATGCAATTATTTCGTACACAACTTGCATCAAATCAACCAATGACTATTATTGGTGGTTTTATTGGCTCATTGGTTTTTATTTCACTCTTAACGGTATTTTAAGAAAAATATTAATTAATTTTTAAATCGTTTTTGATTTTTATTTATTTTAAGGCTGTAAGCAATTTTGAAATGAATACTTTTGGACCGGGTTATCAAGCACGAATTATTCCTGAGGGTAATTTAATCTTTTGTAAAATTAGTTTTTATTCTCATTAATATTTTAGTTATAACTTGTTTATTTATCGCAATGATTTGTTGTGGATTAGTTCATCGAGTTTGCGTTACTACTTGGTAAGAATATAATTAATGAACATAAAAAGAAACTAATGTATAAGACTATTTTTATCCGGAATAGGACAGGAAAAGATTAGATTATTATCTTTAGTATTAACATTATTTCTTATAACTATATTTGAACACTTTATCTACAACGGAATAAGTATTTAAAACAACAGTGTAATATCGAAGATAGTATGATGACTTTGAAAATTACTTAGAGAATATAAAATTTGAAATTATCAAGAATTATCTTCGATCTATCAACCTCGGTTAGATACATTTGTTTGAATATATAATATAGTACTATGATTAATAGAATTGATTTTTTTTGCCTAAGCTTACATAACTCTAACATCACATAGAGTTAAAATTTCCGCTGAATTCCCAAGAGAATGCATAATAAATAATTCTATGAATAATAATAGAAAAAAGAAATGCATTGTTTTAGATCAAATTTCATATATATATTTATTTAAATTTTAGTATTATTTTCTCATTAATTGCACTCTATTACATAAATCGTATATCATCAAGTATCTATGGAAATGCAGGTGTACCAGCAACTGGTTATGCAACACAAAACTTATTATCAAACAAGAAGAAACAAAAATGAAAGAATTTTATTTCATTTACTTGATTCATTCGTATTATTCTATGAATCTTTATCTCATATAGTTCTCTTTCTTTCTTACATTCAATTCATTTTCTATGACAAGGTCTGTAGTAGAATATTTCTTAAAATAAATCAATTCAATTTCTTTTCTTTTCTCTTCTTTTTCTCTTGTTTAATGAATTCATTACATGTATACAATAAAAAAAAAAAAAGAAAATGTCTTGTACTTTATGATTTATTAATCAATATGTATCTCTCTATAAAATAGAATACTATTGTCTTTGTATGAACATTTTCACATGACATATAGACAGATGCATTTTTATTTTATACGCTAATGTTTAATTATTTTCTCCGCCCATCATAAAAAAGCCACTTTCATTTTTTTTCATCTCGGAACGTTTTTTTTCTTCTTATATAGACATCACGCAAAAACAATGAGTCGGAATAACGGTTTCCTGAGAGAAAAGACTAGAAGAAAGCGGAAGATAGAAAATAGTAATAAGAAGAAGAGTACTCAATGAAGAACATTAATATCAATAATACTATTATAACATTATCAACGTTTATTCTTTGTTCGTGCGTTTTATAAAGTTTAGTAAGATTCAATAATTTATCATTTATGACGTCGAATATATATATTGCTCAAAAGAATATGACATTCAAATAGTTATCATTAAAAGAAATGTAAGAAATTGAGAGTCTAGAAAAAAACAGAATGAGAAATATGTTTGCTATGTAAATATGAATGAAATATAAATATTAACTTTCAATTACTTTATTTCAGATATTTCATAGTACAACAAATGTGCTTTTTATATTCACAATGTCTTTAAAATACTTCATAACGTAAATAATATTATCCATGTACAGTAGATACCAATCGTTACTTAATTCTGATTACGAACGCGACCAACAAGAACAAGAACAAATCTCTCGTTCTTCATACGAATTATATCGTTACAATCATGAACCAGTATCAACAAATATACTTCGTCGTGATATTCCACCAATTCTTATATTATTATTTTTTCTTTTTCTTATTATTATTATTCTATCACAAATACTTGTTATTCATTCATCACGTTATGGAACAAATTTTTCAGCCATGCAAAAAATTCAAGGAGAACTTAAACAAATGGATGAAAGTATGGAACGATTATTAAGTGATAATGTTTTACCTATAGATAAATGGCGTCTTTTATTTCATATACAAACATATCTCAATCGTTTTGAATATTTATTTGATTTATTTAATAATGAAAATAATCATATAAATAAAAATTTTAATCAATCAATAATTCAATCTCATATTAAAAAATTTATAAATAAATCAAATGAAATATTAAAACAAGAACATAATAATTCATATTTTATAAATAGTATAAAACATGTACAAAATAGACTGGAAGAAATGATGGATCCAAATCATAATCTTTCTCAAGAAAAACAAAGAAAAATTTATTGTAATGAACAACCTAATCAATTAAGTACGTTTGGAAATAAAAGTAAAAAATACCAATTTTTCCTTTCTTTCTTTGTTTTTAATAGAAGGTCAAATTTTGAATGAAAATTCTACATTTCCTAATATTTCGTTATATGAAATTGAAATGAATTATTCCAATGTCAGATCAGGTGGTGGTTGGTCACCAAAACATTGTCTTGCCCGTCATAGAGTAAGATATATGTACATAATATTTTTCTATCATAATTTAATTTAATATAGGTAGCAATCATTATTCCATATCGTGATCGATTTGAACATTTAGTAACATTACTTTATTATTTACATCCAATATTACAACGTCAAGAACTTGATTATAAAATTTATGTATCCGAACAAGTTGGAAATGGAACATATAATAAAGCTGTTTTAATGAATGCTGCCTTTATATATGCATCTACTGAATATGATTTTCAATGTTTTGTCTTTCATGATGTTGATTTAATACCAGAAGATGATAGAAATATGTATTCATGTCCAATTTTTCCAAGACATATGTCAGTTGCTGTTAATGAAATGAATTATAAGTAAGGAAAATATAAATTTTATTAATAAATAAGTTTCTATTTTTTTTTCTCTTTAAGATTGACGTATGAAGAACTTATTGGTGGTGTATTTAATATACGTACAGAACATTTTTTAACTGTTAACGGTTATAGTAATCTATATTGGGGTTGGGGAGCTGAAGATGATGATTTATATTATCGGTACATAAGAATAACTTAAAAGAAACTTTTTTCTTATAATAAAAATGAATATTTTTAGTTTGAAAGAAATCTCTTTGAAAGTTATTCGTCCACCATCATCTATAGCTCGATATAGAATGCTTCAACATACAAAACGTACACCATCGATATGGAATAAACGGTATGTATATATATATCATTTTAAATTATTGATCTTTGTAATATTATTATTTCTAGAGCTAAGCTACTTTATTCAGCAGCTAAACGTTATACATGGGATGGTGTCTCATCAGCTCGATATAATCTCACTTCTGCTATTGCTTATCCATTATTTACACATATTCTTGTCGATGTTGGTGTACCACCACCTGGTTTTACTTGATAATTGAATGAGAATTTTTAGTCAATTTTTACAATTAGTCTAACAATAATAACAGTTTCATGTCACTTCTATACATATTTTTATATTTCTATATATATATAAAGTGAAACAAACGGTGTTTTTTCTTTTTTGTTTTCTCACAAGTGCAATAGTTGATAGAAAAAAAAAACAAAAGTCAATTAAATATAATATATATAAATACATCTATATATTAATAAATTTTGTATGTTCTTTTGTAATAGAACTAATAATTTGTCATTCGTTCTTCTTCTTTTCTTTTTGTTGATTTTCTTTTTTTTTCGATTTTCCTTACCGTCCTTTTGGATATTGGGATTTTTCTATTTCTTTTTTCTTTGCTTTTGATTTAACGATAAAACGAATAAAAATAAAAAGATATTGATGTTCAATCGAATTTAATTATTATCTATCAATTTTTCTTCCTTTAGATCAAATAGAAAAGGAAAAATGTTCTTGCTTTCGGATCTTTATCGTGTAGCAATTAATGTTGGTGATCGGGCATTATCACCAGGGATGAAAAAGGTAATTCATATTCTTTTATTTTTTTGTCTATTATTCATTTTTATTTATTTAGATTGTTAAATGGTAATTATTTATATGTCAACGATAGATTTATTTAGTTAATCTTTTTTTCTTTATCTATATATATAGGGATCATCCAGCAGGAATGAAATATATACATTTCTGGGCTCCACTTATGAAATGGTCATTAGTTGGAGCTGGTTTTAGTGACATGCTTCGTCCAGCTAATAAACTTTCACTAAATCAATCAATATCATTATTTGCAACTGGTGCTATTTGGAGTCGATATTCAATGGTTATTGTACCAAAAAATTATATGTTGTTTGCAGTAAATATTTTCTTGGCTTTTGTCGGTGCACAACAACTTGCACGTATTGCCCATTATCGCTATACACATCCAGAAGTTGCCTCAACTACTAAAAATTAAGAATATATATATACAAATAATTTTCTTTTCTTTTGATGATCTCCAACTAACAATTACTTTACGATAGTTATTTTTCCTTTATGATCTTTTATTTTGCCGTGTAGTATTTATAGCTCTAACACTAATCTCATTACTAATAAAACGCCAGCATGACATCTTAATATTTATCCTGTATTTTTCTTTAACACAATGATTAATTTAGTATATTACGCAAATAAAAAAATAATAATATTTAAAATACGATTGTTTTAATAGTTTGAAAAATTTAACAATAGTGTTTAGATTATATATAATCAACATGAGATTACTTACTGTTATAAAAATATTTAAAAAATAACTGATTTCAATGCATAAGCGATAAAATCATTGATAATACTTTTTATTCGCTTAGAATTGCTAGTATTTACTTGAGATTGTCTAGAATCTATTACAAGCAGCGTATTACATCAAAATGGAAAAACTTAACTTTGAAGAGTCAGTTGCCGATAATAATCGATACAACAAGTACCAAATCTATTTACTCTGCTGATCTCTTGCTCATCTGAATACATGAATGTTACTGATTTCCTGAAAATGATGTACTGCAGCAAAAACTATTAAAACATATTCATTATAATTAGTTTTCTTCGTAGTAGTTCTGATGAATTTAGAATTTAGATTACTTACCGAAACTATTTTCATATAAATCAAAAGTTGTTGTTCGTGTAATTTTTGTCTACATTTCCAGTATATACTGACCTGACACTAGAGTCATATTATTCAGCAAAAACCAAATCTAGAATAGAATTCACAAAAGAAAACTAAAGCATTCTATGGTTCTTTGTGTTGTCAGTTGTGAAGTGTTGTATAAGTTGATTAGATTTTATTTTACATGGTTGCACTAATTCATTCAATGATAGTTACTTTTTTTTGTATACAAGATTTTGTAAAATGGAGTGTCTATCATAACATATCCTGTATCAAGTGTACCTATGTATTGCTTTCTCATTTATTCACGTATGAAAATATGAAATCTTTTTTATTGGTCTTAATGATCTAAATCATAATTCATTTGTGTTTTAACATTATTGAATAGAGAACATGCCGACATATCGTTTTTCCATCTTACAAGAACCAAATAAACACATGACTCAAAACAACTGTTGTCGAGACAATATTCCATTAGAAAAAGAGATTAAAGATCAAAAAATATATGTTGAATGAATCATTGATAAAAGAAACGCAGAAAACAATTGATTGTTAATAACCAAATCAGATAATTTCATGGCTCATTTCATAGAAAATTTGATCAAATCTCGGAAAGAAATTTTCCTAGAACAATGAAACAGGAAACATACATTTCTAGGTTAAACTAAAATTATGAAAATACAGTAGAATAACTAAAAATAGATTTCGTTGTTTGAAATTTATATTAACGATTAATTCAAAAGAGAAAACAAAATGATTAAGAATAATATCTTGTGGAAATGATTAAGAATAGACGCCTATGTTAAAATATGTCACCTGCTTTTTTCTTCTTTCACTTAATCGCTACATATCCACGAGCATTACTTCTATTGTTTGTAAAGCGCGTTCAAACGAAAAGGACTGATGATGCGATGTACAGTTAACATCACACTCGACTGTTGATTTCCTGTATGTGCGGGTTTTTTTTTATGTTTCATTGATCACCTTCCTTTTTTATTTCTTCTTCACTATGTAAACTTTGTCACCGGATCTTGCGCTAATTATTCGCTCACCTGCATCTTACAACATACAATTTTCGTTCATCAGGTTTTTTTTTCGATTCTCTAATTGGAACGAACGTCTGATCATAAATAATGACATAGGCGGTATCGGCCAAATAACCTTTCTGCTATTGTATTTTTTCTTCTAACAAAAGAAGAAAAGTAGCAAAACAAATAGTTAGCTGCGCTTCATCGCATCTACTGATAATCAACATCTTTACAACTTATCATCATCATCATCATCTGTTCAAACCATTTATTTTCATACAAACCAAACACATACACACACACGTTTTACATTGATTTTGTTCATAATCAATAAAATAATAAAGACACAAGTTCCATATTCTTCTTTCATCTTCAGTTATACAAAATGTTGTTAATTCGAGACAAGAAAAGAGAGAGAGACGCCGGTGATTCTTCACTCTTCACATTCATCATCAAACTTCCGTTTGTTTTTTTTTCTATTCTTTTGATTTTTCACTTAACTACGACAAAACTGCACAATACATACACACTTCTCTCATCATCATTTTTATCAATAAAAATCTCATTTGCAAAAAGAAAAGAAAAAGACAAATTCACGATCAATAATTAAAATGTTGTTAATAGATGATGACTTGTAATAGATCGCATCTACTTTGATCTTTCAATATTTCCATCAATAAGAAAAAGAAGAAGAATGACGTTAATTCCAGAATATAAGTTAAATAGTTGTTGGGCGACGACAGACGTAAGATGGATCGAAAAGTGTGCGTGCTTTTCCGTGTAGACAAACAGTGTCATTTTATGTTTAGATAAAGAATGAAAGAGTTAGAGAGTGAGAGAAAGAGATCGAGTATAAATGAGTTAATTACTCTAAATCTTTTTTATTATTATCAATATTGACTCATTATTTTGAAAAGTGATGAAAGATTTCATATGAGTTTTGATATAATAATACACTATCTGAAAAACTAAATTTCAATTGACTCGTTTTGTTTTGCCTTTTTTTGGTATGAAGTTGATTTGAAAATTATGAATTGGTGGTCCAACAAGAGAAGAAAAGAAGAGAAAAGAAAAGGGAAAAGTAGCCATTCTCTTTATCCATTTGTATGTTTCTGTTTGAATAAGGAAGAGAGAGGGAGAGAGAGAGAAAGAGAGAAAAAGAGAAAGTGTTAATGAACAGTTTTGTGATTGTGTGTGTATTCTTTTTTTGTGAAATATTGATGAAGAAGAAGACAATTGTGTTCACAGATTAGAATTGCTTCATTACTATTATTATTATTGGTGTATATTTACTATATTTAAAGAAACAATGAAATTATTATTTAATATTTATCTCTTATATTATATAACAAAAGAGATAATGTCAACAACATCAATAAAAACTTATTCAACAATAAATGTAAAAGAAAATGTGAAAATCAATACAAAAATCTATGAATTTACTGAACTAAATAATAAAAATGAAATGAAATTAATTCTTTTGAATTTAAGTGGATTTGAAAGAAATTATTTTGAAATCAAAAATGAAAATCTTTATACAATTAATGAAATTGATCGTGAAGATTTTTTAAATTCAAAGAAATGTTTTGATCGTTCATATTGTTTGATTGAACTTCATATTCTTGTTAATGATGGACAACAATATTGGGTTATACCAATCCATATTGTCGAGTAAAGTTTTTTTCTTATTTTTCTATTTAATTTAAAGATTATGTATTTTTTTAGTGAAAATGATAATAAACCACAATTTCGGAATTCCTTAATAAAATTAAAATATCATGAAAATATTCCAAATGGATATGAAATACCTTTTGAAGGTGCATTAGATATTGATGAAGGTTTAAATGGACAAATTCGTTATATTCTTGATTGTTCATCACCATTACTATCAAAATCATTAAAAGAATTACAAAACTTAAATAAAACCTCAATAAATTGTTTTCCATTATTTGAATTAAAAATTCTTTCACAATCAAGATTATTAAATCAATACGATCAATTAGCATTAAAATATATTCCATCAAAAAAAAATTTATTACAAAATGAATATATAGAAAATAAAACAACCTATGATTTAATATTATATGCAATCGATAGTGCTGAAGATAATGATAAACAATTAGAAAATTCTTTAAAAATTCAAGTTGAAATTGAAGTCGAAAAATTTGTTTTCAAACCAAAATTTTCTCTATTAAATTATAAATTTATTGTAAAAATAAATTCATATTTAAAAAAAGGTACAATTCTAGGTAAAGTCTATGCAAAATCCAGTAATCAAAATCAATTAATTCTATATAAAATTCAAAATAAAACAAATGATATCGAAATCAATTCGTTAACAGGAGAATTAATTTTATTAAATGAAAATATTTTATCAAGTACTACAAATAAAATTGATTTGGTTGTTGAAAGTTATTATTATTTAAATGAATATTCAACATTAAAATCATTAGCAAATGTTGAAATTTATTTTCGTTTAATAAATCAAATTAGTCAAATAAATATAATTTATTTAAATCAATCAAAATTTATTCTACAATCAAATGAAAATCCCAATAGATTCTCTTTAAATCTCCAAACAAATTTTACAAATGAAATTTTATTTCAACTATCAATTTTACCATCATTTTATTTATTTGATAAATATATTTTTTATCTTGATAATTATCAAAATATATTTTCATTAGAAAATTCAACATTAAAAATCTATTCGAATTCTTTGATTTTTAATGAAAAATATTTTAATTTAACAATTAGAATTCAACATGAATTAACACAAGTATGGTTACCTAATTTAATTATTCAATTCATATCAAAACAAACCAATGAAAACCTTTGTAAAGAAAATTTAATTTATAATTTATATAATTTAAATCAAACAAATTTTATTGAACAAATAAAAGTTTTAGAAACAAATGAAAATAATATTTCATTATTTACAAAATATGATTTTTCATCGATAAATCCGAATGAAATTTTTATTAATCAATGTCGAATGTTATTTCTGAATAATAATATTCAAAAATATTCTCATTATAAACTATGTTCATTAAATGATATATGTTATAATATAACAATGATTCGGAATAATCAAACAAATATGTTTTTAAATAAAAATTTCAGATTATTTTTTAAACCAATACAAATAATAATTATTTCATTTTTAATTATTTTTATTCTTAGTACAATAACATTATTTATTATTATTTGTCGATTACAACAATTTCATTTATGTTTAAAAATTAAAAATTATTTAATTTATGGAAAAAAATATCAATTAAATAATACAGAACATCTTTCATCATTGAAAATAAATGTAAGTCAATAAATTACTATTAATACATTTGACATCACTCAGTTTTCTTCGAAATATGTACATTTGCTTCATCACACAATTAGTTATTGTCCTTTTGTATAAAATGAAGTGAGTTGTTTAGATGATGATTTTCAATCTTTCAGTTTCGACAAAGAAGTTACTGATGATAGAGTAGATATACATATTTTCATGCTATCATTTCGTCAGAGTTTTGTACGGATCTGCTATGTAAGAATCTAAAACCTAGACCGAAGCGCAAACTAGCTGAAAAAATTAAGAGAAGGGCATCATAGGACAGCAAAGAAAATGAAAACTTTCTTTGCTGTTGGTTTTCATGAGAAGTGTTGCATGTGTTAAATAAAATAGAAATCATTGACAAATCTATCTCTATGAAATTTATTCATATTTTAATTATATCTTATTGAAAATATCTTGGTCTTTGTTATTAAAGAAAACAATAATGCATAATTTTACCCATTGAATTCTAATGATTAGAAATAGTTCTTACTCATATCCTGTTGAACTTTACATCAAATAGATTGATTAGAGGTCAATATTTTTTAAATGAATAATAGAATCGATTCGACATGATTAGAATTTTCTTCTGATCAAAATCAATGACAAAAGGTTTTACTTTGTCTAAATATCATCTCTTTTAGCAAAGAACTCATTCAATTGTTGTTCGAGAATCTCAATCACCTTCGATTGAATCAATGAAACATAGTAAGTTTTCTTTCTTTTATTGTATATTTATTTTGTAATATATGTATATATAGAATCATATGTATATAGTATTGATGAATTAATTAAAGAAGAACCGAAACCATCAACGAATATTTCTGTTGATGTACCAATATCATTATTATGTACATCATCAGTTGGAGGTGAAAGAGTAGAAGAAAGAATGATATCAAGTATTGATAATGGAACAATAGGTCGAATATTATCATCATCATCATATATACAAGAAACGAAACAATTATTAGATATGACATCATCATCATCATATCAAGATTTGAATGTGTCTAGATTAGCTTCTGAAGTCTGATTTCTTTAACAGTTGTCTTGTTTTTATTTGATGTTGTTGTGTTTTTTGTTCAGTGCTTGATTGTTTTCAAATAAATAAAATATAAAATGAATTACAAGTCCTATAAATAACATTTTACATCATATCATTTGTATCTTAGGTTAAATATGCAAATATGCCATTTTATCAGACAATGTCGTTTAGTTCAATTTTCGTGTGCAGTCTTTTCATTCTCACTTTTTTTTATTTCACATGCGTTCGAAAAGAGATCAACGAGAAGTATCTTTTATGTCACGACAAGAATATTACTCAAAACTCCACATGAAATGCAAAGAAAAAGAACAGTGCACAATCTCTTTTACACATTGACAATAAACCTCCAACCAATAAGAATAAGCGTCAATGTATGATGGTTATTGCTAAGGACGACTCTTCTCGTTGATTTGTTTTTTGCCTCTATCTATTTCTATTCGCTTCCAAGTCATATGGCTTGGAAGCGTGTAGACAAATAATGGTAAAAAATATCAAGGAGAGAAAACCAACCTTAACAAGCATCATCATACATCGACGCTTATTCTTATTGGTTAGAGGCTTATAAGCAACATGAGAATAAAACTCATTCATTTATACACTATGAATTGCATAACCTTTATGAACATAGATAAAACACTATCAGTAAATATATATATATCACGTAACAAAAAAAAACTTAACGCATACACATTTCATTAAAAAAAGAATACGGCTTTAACAGAAATAGTAATATTAATGTCTAAGAAAGTTATCACATCTCTCCTTACATTACCTGTTGAGCTTGTCTATCGTATTCTTGACAATCTCGATGAGTTATCTATTCTTCTTTCAATTCGCAACGTTTGTACACGATTGAATGCAATCACCGACACATATCATCGATATCAGGTAAACTTTATTATTGAATGAAATATTCGCTTGATTTTACATCTTGCTTAATTTGAAGATAGACTATTTGAATTATTCTCTATAATGTATCATACCATGCTATTTGAAGTTAAAATAAGTTAGCAATGTCACAAGACTATTCTATAATTAAAATTTCTATATAGACAATGTCTGCACTCGATCTCAAATTTCGAAAAATTTATGATCAGACTATAAAATGTTTAGTAACTGTCTTACACACGAACAAGGTAAAATAAGTAATATATCAATTTATTTGAAACTATTGACTATTATATATTATAGACTTTGACAACACTTGATCTTGCTCAGAATTATATTAGTATAGAAGGTGCACAATATCTCATGAATTTTTTAAAAATAAACACAGTAAGTTATACTTTCTATTTCTCTATCATATTTTCATCATCATGATTTAATAAGATACTTACGATTTTACATTTGAATTGGAACAAAATTGGTACTGAAGGTGTACAATATCTGGCCAATGCATTATATAACAACACAGTGCGTCATATTCTATAGATTTATTCGCTATATACTTATTACTAACATTCAATATAGACACTCAAAGTATTAGATCTTGGAGGAAATTGTATTGGTGATGAAGGTGCACGATACTTGGCAAATGCATTAAAAAATAACACAGTAAGTCATATTCACTATTTATATATCGTTTTTTCATAAATATTATTCAACATAAGACGCTTACAAAATTAATACTTTGTGAGAATCGAATTAGTGCTGAGGGAGCACATCATCTCGCTAATGGATTACGTGATAACACAGTAAGTCGTAGTCTTCATTCATCTATTATATTCTCACATATGCCATTGAATATAGACACTTACAACGCTAGAACTTGGCGAAAATCAGATTGGTTCTAAAGGAGCACAATATCTTTCTATTACACTAGAAACCAATACTGTGAGTACTAGTGTATATTAATCTATCAGACTTACATCATCATTCAACATAGACACTCACAAAGTTAGATCTACAATGGAACAAAATTGACAGTAAAGGTGCACAGTATCTTGCCAATATATTTTACAATAACAGAGTAAGTTCTATGCTTTTCTCATTTGTGACATTGTTAACATTATTATTCAAGTAGACGTTCACAATGTTACATCTTAATTGCAATTCAATTGGGAATGAAGGTGCTCAATATTTGGCAAATGCATTGAAGAACAACATAGTAAATTACACTCTGTACATTTACAAAATTTTGACTATCATTGTTTATCATAGTCTCTCACAACACTGATAATTTCTCGCAATCAAATTGGTCTTGAAGGAACGCGATATTTTACTAATGCGTTAAGAAATAATACAGTGAGTCGAATTCTCTATTTTTCGTTTGTAGTTTCATTACTGACATTCAATTTAGACGCTTAAGATTCTAGATCTTGCACATAATCGAATTGACAACGAAAGTATCCAATTAATTGCCAATGCATTACAAAACAATACAGTAAGTCATATTCTACTCATCTATTACGTTTTTATCATTGTTGTTCAATGTAGACATTGACCACTCTACATCTCGGTTGGAACCAGATTGGTACTGAAGGCACACGCTCTCTGGGAAATGCATTAGAAACTAACAGTGTAAATCGAATTCTCTATATAACTATGATCGTTGCACTTACATTATTTAATATAGACACTCACAACTCTGGATCTTAATCATAATCAAATTGGAGCTATGGGTACACAATATCTCGCCAAAGCATTAGAATGTAACATAGTGAGCTATAGTTTTTACTTATCTATTATATTTTCACTATTGTCATCAAATATAGACACTCATAACTCTAGATCTTACTCATAACTATATCGGCAATGAAGGCGCACGATATCTCACTGATGCCTTACACAATAATAGGGTGAGTTAAATCCTTGGTTCGTTAACTGCATTTATTTGATCAATACTCAATGTAGACGCTCACAATGCTAAATCTTGCATGGAATAATATTGACAATGAAGCCACACAATATTTCATGAATGCGTTACAAAATAACACAGTAAGCTACATTATACTCTTCTAGTAAGCTTTTACTATTAGTATTTAATTCAGTCACTCATAAATCTGGATCTCACCAGTAACAAAATCGATGTTCAAGGTGCGCATTATCTACTCAATTCATTAGAAAATAATAAAGTGAGTTAAACATTTCACTTATGGTACTACATTATAATTATGATTATTCAACGTAGACACTTACAAATCTAAATCTTGCTAATAATCAAATCACGATTGAAGATGTACAATATCTGCGAAACATTTCAAAAGATGCTTTAACACGAGTTCAGTTCTAAAACTAATACGAATAACTGTTTGTTTTCTTATCCTTTGAACTTGTACATAAGTGTAAAATTTATGAAAAACAACATTTGCAACGTATTTCGGTGATCAAACTATATCATTCTATCGATAAAAGTATTTTATAATAGAAATTGATTACAAAATAAGTTTTCATCCTTATTAGATATGAGCTAAAGGTTCGATTTTACATTAAGAAAAAATTAAATTAATAAAACAGAAAATGCAACCTTGATTAGATTCTTAATAATTGGTCCTGCAATATTTAAAATTGGTGCACACTGTTCAACTCGTGCTGTCCAAGTATTTTTCTTTGCCAAAAATGCTCGTTCACGTTGTGTATCTTGTATGTAAACCATAGCTAGTGCAATTGAGCATCCTATTGCAACAATAGTTAAACAAATAATGATAATCAGTTTGATCATATTTTGTTCACACCATGAAACATCATCATCATAATAATACTGATTATTGTTGTTATCGATATTTCTTGCTCGATGACTCATTTTAAAGATAACAAAAGCGAAAATAAGAATACAAATAATATCTTTTTTTCACGCGGTTTTTTTTGCATATAGTAAGATTCTTTGCTGATGTTTATTTAATCATCAAAAAGTGTTTCGGCTATATCTGCAAATAATTCTTTAAATGTTGTTGCAATTGTACCCTTATGTGATTTAATCCATTGATAAACAAATCCATCTTTCATAATCATATCTAAAACTTTATTCGCCACACCATGTTTACGTCTGAATTCATTTTTAATACGTTGACGTTCTCGATCGCGTTCAGCATATTTATTTTTATAATATATTAGTAGAACTGCTGATATGATAAGAAGAAGTATAAGAAAACTACTAATTATTCCAAACCAATATTGTGCGCAACATGATGAATCTTCATAATTATCATCTATATCCTTTGAGTTATAATTCTTATATGAAGATGTAGATACAATACTTGTATCACTCATTGCTAATATTTATAATTTTTAAATTAGTAAAAATTACAAATTAACTTTTGTTTAAAAACAACATGTATGTAACTAAGGAAATGAATAGGCGGAGAAAATATTTATAAGTTCTTTTAATTCTTTTATTCATCGAATGATTTACATAATCCTAATGTTTCTATATACTTGAACTGTAAGGAAAGAAAAAAAAATTTTAAATCCGAACTCCCAGATTTGAACTGGGGACCTATAGGTTTCTATGATAAATGTCCATTACAGCCTACCGCTCTGCCAACTGAGCTAAGTTCGGATATACAAATCATAGGTTTTAAATAAAATTCTTTTTCGACTTTATATACTTTCTAAACATTAACTTTTCAATGATAATCTATAAAAAGAAATTTTATAAAATATCAGTCAATTTTCAGAGATTAATCAATGAAGACAAGATTTCTGACAGAATTGTTGTAAAATGGAATTAACAGAGCTTACGAATTTCACATATAAACAACTGGATTGCAATAAATCATCTACACATTAAATCTAGTACAATTCAATTAATTGAACAGTTATACAATAATGTATTTAGACAGAAAAGTAGTTCAAAACGAAACAGGACCATATGATGCTATCTTATCAAACACGTTTATATTGATAAACACTACAATGTAATAAAATAGTATTCTATACAAACTTCGTCCTTATTAGCTAGCACGTCTAGAATAGGAATATCTCATTTTTATCTTCTAAAAGTAGAAAAAATGACAATAAGAATTATAGATGAATAGATTGTTCACGCTTTAACTTCAAATTTGGTGAAATATTAGGCCTTGAATTTCAGCGTGATTTAGTATCATAATGCTCTATCTGATTTCGAAACTAAATCAACTAAACATGAAAATTATCAGTAGTATAAAACAAAATCTATCTTCTTTTTTTTGCAAACATCAACGTTCAAACAAAATATTTTATTTTTTTAGAAATTCTTCATTCAAAACAAACAAACAAATAGTAAATATTCAGATAAATTTTCCTAATGAAAAAATACTTGCCAATATAAAGTTCTTTATAATTTTATTGTGATTTTACTTCGTTTCGACGTTTTCCTTTCTTTATATAACTTTGTAAATAAAAATTTGCAAAAAGTAAAAGTATTGTTATGCCATAGAGTAGAAATGTAAGATCAAAAATTTTTGGAAAGTTACATGGTGCTAATATATTAATAACTGAATGAATAATAACTGCAATAAATTGAATCTATATCAAATAATAACAAGAATATATTTATAAATTAAATTAGATTAAAAAAAATTACTATTTGAGCTTGTGTTAAATAACGTTTCCACCAAAGATATTTTTGAATATGACTTCCACAAGCACTTAAACCATAATAAGCATACATAATAACGTGAATGAAAGAATTTATAATAACAATGAATAATGCTAATGAAAAATAAAAGAAATATAAACAGTTAAAATAATCGATAAAATTCCTATTGATAAAAAACTCCTTACATTGGCCACCTGGAACATATGCTGTTCCATACCATCCAAAAATCATCATTGTCAAATGATGATAAACATGTAAAAATGTTATTTGATTATCTTTTTTACGTAATACAAAAATAATCTATAATCATAAAATAATATAGAAATTGTTCATTTTTTCAACTTACTGTATCAATTAAATCGACTATTTTCATAATATAATACCACCAGCATGCTTTAGTTGCCTAAGATACGGAAATAATTATTTCTTAGTCAATATCATTCATCATTGATATAATTTCAAGACTATTTTCCTTACTCGAATAGCATTACTTTTATTTGAATAATCAACAGGTTCACATACAAAACTATATTTCTCATCAGCCCATACATATACTGCCTGAAATTAAAAATATGTTTTTGTTAACAAAATTATATCTTTCATTGTTATACTTCATAGGTAATATATGTACAGAAGACTACTTGTAAAAAATTATATATAAACATAAATTTACGTAGCTCAAATGGTTTTTGATTTTTCATCCATTTTCGTCCAAATACAATACAAGATATATAGATAAAACATATGATAAAAGTAGGGAGAGCACTTTGCATCAAAGGCCAATTTTTGATACGTACATCTAGATAATAGAAATTTTTATTATATTTAAGAGAAATCTTTCAAATGAATTAATACATACCTCCACCTATCGGCAAAGTATTAAATAAATCCATATACGTAAATATAAGAAAATTCGGGCTGACAAAAATGAATAGTGTTTAAAAGTTGAATACACTTGTATTTATGCATTCTTTCATGTAACTATAGTAACATATAGAAGAAAAAAAGGAGAATAAAGTAAAATGATCTTTTTCTTTTTGTTTGAATAAGAGATCTGAATGAATGAATGAATGTATGGTAGTACTTCAAAAAATGTAAAAAGAAATACGTCAATCCATGTGTAAGTTTTCGTCGTCGCACATAATAACTTTCATTCTGACAACAACTCATATATATTAGAAAAAAAAATACGTTAAAACATTTTATAAACTCGACAAATTCTATTTTGTGAGAACATACATTTACAAAACTATGATAAGTATGTAATACGTATATATTCTAAATAAAGTTTTGTCAAACGATCTAATATATGATCTATTAATGAATGATCATTCTTATAATTAATTGAAACTAAATAGAAATAGGCGAAGGTTATTTGAAAGATAAACTATTAAAATGAAATGTTCGTAATCAACATTCCTTAAATATTAATTAATTGAATATCAATATTAAAATTCATTACGAAGAATATTTATTCGTTATGATGCAAAAGTATTTACTAGTATAATAAATAATTCTATGCATTTCGAAGATAAAAACAGTATAATAAGTCATAGAGTAATTAAAAGTAAGAATTAATAAGAACAACAACAATATGTATACCATTTGATCTGAAATAATTTTTTCTTTAAATTTGTAATAGGCACATGCTTGATTATGACTATTCCATCATAGAATAATTTTGTAGGCATTTTTCTTTAGCTTCATATAATTTTGTATGATTACTTTGTGATTAAATTTTTGTTTGACCATATACTGCTAGTTACTGTATCATGAACCCGTAGAATAAGTTATTAAGCATTATTTAATAAAGTTTCATCTCAAGTAAGTGTTCATATGTACTGGTAGTTCTATAATTGGTTTATTTGTTACAGAATTAGCCAAAAGTGTTGATGCACAAATTGTAGCTTATAAAAAGAAAACTTACTCTGTAATATTTGATTTGGTATTAATAATTATGGAGTTTTTCTTTTTGCTTAATAAGTCACATAAACAAAGAGAAAAGGAAAAAATAATCAACAACAAAAACTATTTATTATTGATGATAAAATAAAACATTTAAAATAAGAACATAACTATAAATATTTTTAAGAATAATTCTTTGTGTCAGTTTCTATTCTATATACATAGGGTAGTCAAAAAGTTATGCAACTGTCAAATATTTATTAATAGAAAAGACATTTTGTTGATCTTTTCACAGTAAATATTCGAAGTAGTCCATATGATGTTCTATACAAAATTTCATCCTTTCAATCCATTTCTGGAATGTCTCTTGATATTCGTGAATAGGTATTGAATGAAGCTCCCTGGATAACATTTTAGCTAGACTTGTCGCATCTGGGTATGTATCAAGGCCACGTTTCAGATAATTGAACAACCAAAAATTGGAAGGTGCAAGGTCAGGTGAATATGATGGATGAGTCATAAATTTGATTTTTTCTTCTTGAAGATAATTAAATTGGAGAACAATATTTTCCATACGTACTACTGCATGTTTTTAATACAACTTTATGCTATTATCTGGATGATAGTTTTTTCTTATGTAAATGTTTTACTAATATCTTCGAGTATCCACCACAATAAGTGATGTGATAACTGTGCCTAAGATGAGAGTAACATAATCAATAATAATATGTGGATCATCATTCACCAGATCTTTAGCTCCATCAATATTTTGTTAAGTGATGCCGGATAACGAACGGTCAGTTCGAGGATTATCTTTCAAGCACTCTCGCTCGTTTGAAAATCGTTGAATCCACCGAGTAAATGTACTATAGGAAACTACATCTGGTCCCTAAATAGTAGTTAATTCATTATGAATTTGTGTAGCTGTTAAGCCTAAGAATAAATGAGTTTTTATATACGAGCGTATGCACTGTTTTTTCATATGAAAATAGAGGTATTCAAAAAATTTGTTCAAAATTTGCCATAACAAACAGCTATGAAACTTCGTATTGGTATTTTAATGCATAACAGATGTGACTACTAAAATAGGCCAACATGAGAAATAAAACCAATTAGGATGAAAATTTAGACAGCTGTTTGCAAAAATTTTTGACTACCCTATGTAGATGAAGATTATGATGTTTTGTTTTTGATTATATTTGTGGTGAATAACAATGAATATCAACATAGCAAATACTGAAATAAGATTATTAATTTTTTGTTATTGTCAGTAATCATACAAAATTAAATATTTTATTAAAAATATTGTTCTCAAATAACATTTAAACACAAGCATATCATCTTTCTGACTGGATAATATCTTTTCAAAATAAAAAATAATCAGGATCCAGGGCGATGGGTGGATGTGAGATAAAAACAGCATCCTCACTCATACTCAAGCATCCTCACTCATGCTCAAGCATACTCGTCAATTGGCGATCCACTGTCAGTAAAATCTAAAAGAAGTTAAATAAATCATTACACGTTGAAAAAAAACATCCATTTTGTAGTTATGTATGATATAGTCAAATATTGAAAGAAAGTAAAGACGTCATCAACTTTGTTTAGTAATTCTTCTAATGTAATTATGGAGATGCCTCATCTTTCTAGAAAAAGAATAATTAGTGTATATCTGATGTTCCTAAGGGTGTGGGTAAGAAAAGAACACAATATCCACGTCCACACTCACACTCATATTTACACCCTCAACTTGATTCTTGAAGAGCAAGAGTTGGGACTAGCTGATTGGATTTGTCTCTTCACTAAGAGATAGATCAATCTAGTTTTCAATTGAGTTACATTACTTGTTTTTTAATAAATAAATAAATAAATGAATCAAAGTGAAAAAAGAACGCAAAAGTTACAGGAAAATACAACTGAGAAATAAGTGTGCGTTGAAAAGTAAAAGCTAACTACTTTATAAATATGAAGAAGTTCTGTTAAGTCAGTTGTGCTCGCTTTATTCTGGAAAAACAAAAGACAAAATAAATTATAATAAAAAAAGTGATAGGATAAATATAACATACCTGTTGTTACTATATCAACCAGCACTAATTGGACAAGTACCAGAAGCATGAAAAGGAAGAGTAGGAGTGTTACCATTACAACAGCACGTGCAACATTGAATACACATAGTATTAGCGCTACAAGCAGCGCTACAAGTACTAGTATAAGTACCAGTATAAACAGTGGTACTGCCAGTATAGCCACCACAAAAAGTAAAGCCGGGACCACTAGCAAAACCAGAACCAGTAAAATCAACAGAATAACCACCACCACCAACATAACCATTATCGGCAGTAGAGCAAACACAAGTAGCTAAATCAATAGATGATATAAAAAATAGTAAGTGAGAAAGAGTTTTTGTCGTTAACGTCAGATAGGCAGAACGGGGTGATTTGGAGTGTGGGTGTTGGTAGATGTGGATGTGCATATGTGTATGGTTGTTGGGCGAGTGTAGGTGTGAAGAAGACAGAAAACATGGTAAAACTATATTCACACCCACACTCTCACCCGCTTCATACTGCAAGGTAGTCGACTGACAAGGGATTCTTCCTTTCTCCATCAATATGAGAATACTATGAGTACTGATAAATTGTAGACACTAACATACTGATATTTAAAAAGATATTTCAGTTAATGAGCTGTAGTAGTTTCAACTACTTTATACTAATGTTCGATCTCATTTGTTTGACTAACCGTTTGAGAAGGAAGTTCTTTCATATCATCTATGCCCACTCTGTCAAATTAAACACTACTGAAAACAAAGCGAGAAAAATAATATTTCATTTTATTTCGCCTCTTACTTTCAGTTTCGTAATCCGCTTTTCTATGTCTCATTAAGCCACTCTTTTTGAAACAGACATAAGATCCACACACGATTTTATACATTACTTACAAAGAGTTGTTGTCGTTGTTGTTTTTGTTGTTGTTGTTGTTGTTGTTGTTGTTGTTGTTGTTGTTGTTGTT